TAATAATTTTGAAATATCTCGCGTGTATTTTAAAGCTGTTGCCACCATTGTTCCAAAATGGCTTTAACGGCCATTTTTAATTATTTAACAAAACCTACTGTCATCAAAGTTAAGTTGATCCGCTTGTCTTGATTGACAAAAACAATTTTCTTTACATTGGGATAGCTCATCAGTGATACCCAATGACCCGTTCCAGTTAAGGCGTGGGAAAGTTTGAGATCTCGGTTCTACAACAGGTAACCTCATTTCGGCACTCTCCGTTCCCTGCTTAGCACACGTGTAATTAAACTGGTAAGAACCTGCTAAGTTCTCTAAACACCAAAAGGGTCCATCAAGAATTGGAATGTTTGTAAAGAAAGTCATCTGGTGGTTATATTTACTCGTACATGTGCATTGGTTATATGAGAGAGATTAAACTGAATAATCGAATTGTGTTATTTTAAGTTGCACCTGACGTGGTCTTGAGAAGTCAGTTGTTTATTACTGTTGAGCACAAATGTTTAGATTCCGTTATAATATATCTGAACCAGCTCGCTACCAGACTTGAAGGGCGAAGTTATGTTAATACGGAAACTGCGGACCAGTTTAGTTAACGTTTAGTTTAGTTTAGTTGTTGAGGTATCACTTTGTTTTGCTAAACCTTAGACAACCATCGGCTGAAAAAAAGTCAAATAATATGAAATTGGGCGAAGAGAGAATATTGCTATTCTTTTTATCTAGTTGACATAGTTGACATTGAGACTAATTCTCTGTTTTCTTCAGCCGTTAGCATAAACATCAATGATATAATACTGCATGATAGAAAATCTTGTTTTAAACCTCAAACCAGGGAGATCTGTCATACCTTTCAGACAATATTTAATATAAAAAACCAGTATGAAGGAATATGGTTCATGAAAGCAAGTAACCTTGCTCATTTAGCAGGTAACCTTTTGGCGCGCTCCTCACTATGCAAAACACACGCGTAGCTAGACTGAGAAATCAAGAACATGAAAAACTATTGACAATAAAGACAAATGAATTAAAATGTACATACGGCATGAAGGTCACTTGTTCTTTCAATGCACAAGGGCACGTGCGTCATCGGTATTTGTTTCGCAATTGAAAGTAAAATTAATAAGCGAATTATCTTTTGTAATTGCTGACCTGTTGGAGGCATCTGTCGCTTGAGTTGTCTATTTGTGTTGAACATTTTCTCACACTGTTTGAATCTTGTTTTTTAAGCATTCACACAAACATTTGAGAGTGGCTTTTCACATTGATCCTGTTTGATTAAGAACTCTTTCGTTTAGGAGGCCGACATCCTGTACAAAAACGCCTTTGAAGAGAAAAAACAGGGATTTCAGGTTATGGTAGAAATCCAAGAATAAACGAGGACCAACCAACTCAACTAAAAAGAAGAATAAACCTGAAAGTGGAAAGTCATGTTGGCTTATAACTCGATTATGTTCTCGCATCTTGTGCTGAGTGAATCACTTTTTTCACTTCGGTATCATTTAAGGCGAATAATAGAGCATCTATATTTGGCTGTTAACAATACATGAAGCTAAATCCCTTTGAGCGATTTATTTCTTGCTGAAACCTCCGCCTCTATGAGCTCACGTTTTCCAAGCAATAACCATAAGACATTATTTGTACAGACAAATCTGTGTATATTCAACTTGAAAACTATATAGCAAGTTTCTCCGTTTGTTTGCTCTTTGGATTAAATAAAGCCTAACGCTGCTCATTTCAAGTTCCCAGCACGCAGCACCAGCTGAATGCACGTGTGTCTTGAACTGGACGGTGGGCTGTTTCTAACGTCAATGTAATACCTGTTGATCACGCTCAAATGATCACATGTTCGAGAAAACTTGTTTTCCTTAGCTTATAACTGCGTAATGTTGCCGCCACTTTGTTGCAGGTACCCCCATCAACAATAAAATTACATGAAGCCGCGGTCAGTGTTTTTAGCGATCAGATAGGCATCCTATGAGATTAGAGACATAAAAAAGATTCATTTTCCTTTGGTATGGACTTTGTTTTCGACTCTGTATCAAAGTAATCTGCGTCGTAAATCAGAGAAAAAACCTGACGGTATTTTGCGAGTTCTATGAGTTTTTTAGCAACTCACTTGACTATTGTTTATTAGCTAATTTTCCAAATTCAAATGCAACACAGTCACCCATGTAAGTGTTATCACTGATGCGTATCAGAAATAAATTTCATTCACGCTTGAAATTAAAAGCCTAACTTTACATGTTAAATTCACCTACGACGCGCATTTTGAATGATATGTTGACAAATATTATTACTTCATCAAGTCAATTTCCTCTCTTTCTTTAAAATGCATACTGTTGTTGAAAGAAATGACCTACCATTTGATTTCTTCGCGCCAAAATACCTGAGCGAAAAAATTAAACTGAGAAGGAGTTAGGAAACTTGCAACGTGTCACCTTTGTTTTCCGAATTTGCCACAGTATATTTATTGATCAGAGCATAGAACTACTGCAGGTGGTTAAGAGATCGGTTTGAAAGCTCGATGTCCAAGAAGTCAGAACACACGATTAATCTTACGCGGCTTGCGCCTTGCATTTGATGTCTAGACAACTCTCCCTTCTTCGGTCAACCAATTTAAAGCAAACCGAAAAATATCAAGAACTACTGAATGCAAAATACGTTAGTTTGAGTACTAAGCTTAGAAAGTGACGGTTTGATTATCTCTATATGACCTTTAGACTAAAACATCCAGCATGGGATGTCACACAATTGTTCCGTGCGAAAACGAAATGTCAGTCTTCTTTGAAGAAACAAACAATGGAGGTTCATCGACCTACTTGTCAATGTTCAAATTGTCAAGCGCAATGTGATTTAATGTAAATATTTGAATAACTTTGTATGCACGATTGCAACAGCCAATAGTTGGGAAATCGTGATCATTTGCCCTCGCTTGACTTATGCTCTCGAGCCGGTACCAGTAGAAGTCGTTATTGGTGAAGTTTGAAGTTAACATCTCTCTAAGTGGCTAATTGAAGTAGAAACCGATGCAGGATTTTTCAAACGTTTCTTTAATTAACAGATTCAAAATTTCGCGCTTTCCAAGCAGAGTAATCCCAAATGGCCAATATAATCACATGCCTCATGTAACTAAATATAATGAACAATGGTTATTACAAAGAAAAAAAAACGTTTTGTCCGATTTCTTGTCTACAAAAGATATCGACCCACCGAAAAAAGAGCAGAGGCTGTTACATTTCCCTAATGTCCTTAAAATCATCCTTGGTTCTTTAAATTCCTTCTTTCCAGTTTCATCGTTTCGATAATCACATTTGCCTGTCTTACGAGTTCATCAATTCTTTCATTTAGCTAATTTGTACATTTTTTGCCGGCACTGAATTACTTTCGTGTGTCTATCTTTGTTCATTTTGTTCAAAGCATAAAACAGCTACCGTCTCCAATCCTGTTAACCAATTTCGATAACCACAACAAAGACTTATCATTAGCTGTTCTTAATTAATTCTCACAACAGACTTTCGGCGTCGCCATTTTCACATTAAGACGAGGAAATCGCGGACAAGAGGAACAGAAAAGACGCATGATCGCAATATTAAATACCAAGAACTTATTAACCTAGCAGCAAAGTGATGCCATAACATAGGTCGCTAAGTGCTTGAACAACAATCGATATCACGAAAACATGGGCTTCCACAAAATGGAAAAACTTATGGGTTTTATTTATTCCACAACTAAAAAGACTGAGCAATGCCGAACTGGCCGGATAAGATGGCCAATACTTGATAAACTTGGCAAAGTGTACCGCTATCTAATTGAACAAAAAATGCGTTCAAGTACTAACGGCGTTATATCGACATCGCTTAACAAGGACCTTAATTGGCAGATGCGTCGTTTTATTGACATGACCGAGATAAATCTCAGCTTGTTTAAGTTTTTTGGACTTTTAGATAGGACGCTGTTTTTTAGCGCTTTTGCTAATTACGGGAATTTGCAATTTGTGCCTTTATCAGAACGTGCGCTTTTTCTCGTAACATTATCACGTCCTGAAGTACATTTTCACTTCGAAGGAAATACCAAATTAAAAAATAGCTGTCAGGAAGCCTTGAGAAACTTTCTTTTTACGTTTCAGTCTTGCTCGAGAGGCAAACGAAGACTTTTAGCAACGTGCATTTGTCTGCATAGTGAGTCAGGGAACATGAAACGTTCCATTTTTACTTTGTAAATTGCAATTTCCTAACTCTACAAAACTTAATGATTTGATACTTAATTTCGCAGCGTCGGTTTTTCTACGAACAATAGTTACCAAAGCAAACAAATCTATCGTTCAAAATAAACGATTTTCCTTAAAATGGAGCAATTAATTAGGAAATCTGTCCGCGTCGATCATGTTTATTTGTTAAATACCGTATTTCAGGTTTAAGAGAAATATCAGCTCATCTGGTCCCGCTAATTAATATGTCTTATCAATATTACCGATAGCAGCAAATTGCACGAAATGAGCGAGCCAAGGAGAGGAAAATGGAGCAACAAAACCCAATAATTCATTTAAAAGAACCTTTCAGTGTAACAAGCACGATTAATTAAAAAGCTAGGAGAACACTTTACAATCTTTTCTTGTAGTAAACTATAATTTTTTTGTAATGTCATTGTAAGGAGTAGAGTGGTTTTGATATTGAAAGCTTTTCAACTACACGCTCAGTATGATTTTAAAATCTCTGTTATTAAGTCGGGATCACATTTTACTAATTTTCCTGTTCGATCCTGAAGGTTACGACAGGTAGTATTGGCAATAATCCGTGATCTTTTTTTCTTCAGAAACACCTGATTTCTTTGTCCGATTACTTTCCCCGATCATCGCCACCTGCGCATCGTAACCTGTTTAAACTTCAGCTGAATAGGTATTCGGTGAGCACATAAATTAAATTGGACAACCAGTGTTATGTTAATGATTAGATTGGCGCCTCGTGCAGCCCATTCAACTGTGTCAGGTTTCCATTCAGCCGTACACACAATGAGAGACGTCACAAAGACTACGTTAGAAACAACATTGGCAGTACTCATTGGCATCGTCAAAACAGCCCCGAGCTCTTTAGCAGTGAATCGAACACACTAAGAACCCGAAGAAAGGCAATTTTCGACGGTAATTGAACACAACGCTAAGACACCGTCTAGAGCATCTTGGACGAACATCCTAAGTCACTAGAGGGAATATTTTGAGGGTAAAGGCCTGAAATCTTGCTTTCCCGCCTTTTTTAATTACTCAGGAAGAATTTACTACGAAGGAAGTGAGAAGCGTGGAATTATTTCGCGGCGGTAGACGCGTGGCCAGTGAATCGTGAACAGTGAGAATCATGCCATCACCAAAAAGTTCAAGGTCTGCGCCCACTCACTCCGTTGACCAAAAGCTGCTACGAGTCAAAGATGTTGTCATCCATCGAAGCACAGAGAAAGGCAACAGTTGTCAGTGTTGCGGGAAGCGACTTGTGGCACTCCCGCTCCTTGGCTTTACAATTCTTTCCATTGGATGTCTTCTTGGAATCGGTTATTTTAGCATCCACGGAGTAACATCCTCTGCGTACCATACAGAAGGGCTGATACCATCCTATGTTACAGGCGCATTGGTACGTTCATTGTTTTTATTTCTTTTAAGAACATAAATCTCTTTGCTACAAGACTAGATCTTCGTAACAATGGTATTAACAGAAATTATGTAACAGTAAGGCTTACCACCGCAATTTGTTCTTCGAGTTTATTTATGCACTCTGTAGTAAAATATGGTAATCGAACATCCAACTGCCGCTCAGTTCGTTACAACTCTTGTTTGAAGTGTTCCCCTAAATTCCCAAGTCACGAATTAACACCGTAGGCAGTTGGATATTTATTATACGGCAGTGTTAACCGTCTGATTGCAATATATTTAATTCAAAAGCAGTACATAAATCAGCTCACATTGAAAACAACGCACGACTTTAATGTGACAGTTATCAACACTCCTTGTGTTTGGAAAAACGGAGTTTCAAATCTACCTGGCGTTTTTGCTACACTTGTAGAAATTCGTAACTGACGAACAATGCCTTACGAATTTAGAGTTGCTGTAACTCCTCAAATACTTTGTTTTTTTTTTTTACTTCGTTTGTCTGTGAAGATTTATGGTTCGAAAAGTGTTCATTTGATGCGTTTTTGGAAAGGATTACACAACAGTTTAAGTAAAGCACATTAGTACCTTGTGCAAATATAGACAAGTGCCTGACGCTTATACATATTCAATGGGCTTAGATTTTGACAAATTTCGCATATCGAGCTTCCGAACTTCGCAATTTCAAAGCTTTAGTGGATTTTAATGGATTAAATGCGCGAAAAAGGGTTAAATTTTCAGCTGCAACCAATTCAGCGCGGGAGAAGAAAGGAACCTTTTATTTTGGGTGTAGTCGATGCAAGTTTCGAAACAAACAAAAGAACTGGAGTGACTCTGGCGCGTGCGTATAAATCGTAAACAACACCTTTACTTATGTTAGGGTATTGTAAAATGGAGCCCACGCTGAGAAAAAGAAAAAGATTCTGTGTCTTGCCGTGGTGTTTACCTGTTTGCTTCATCAACCAAATGTTGCTTTGAAACTCACTTTTGATCGGTGAGTGGAGATGAAAGAGTTTTTAGGCGCAATTCCATAGACACGTGCCAAGAGTGAAACGCAATTGTTCTCATGCCAAAAACGCGTGGTTAGTGAATGATACACTTAACCGCTTTGTTTTTCCTTGTACAATATCACGCGCATTTGAGCTAAAAGCGCCATTGACATTGATTCACTTGGGGCGTTCTCAGGGCGCCAAATTCTAGCCTTTTCTGTTCCCAGTGGATCAAAAAATAAGAAAAGAACGGCCTAACAAGCAAACGGGTGAACGAAGCGTCCTTAGTTATCGCCGAAAAGTCTGATGTTTTGAAGTGAAAAAGAAATAATTTGTAAATGAATTGTTTGTTACGTGAGTGCCGGAGGATAAAAGGAATGTCAAAATTTATTATGATAATCAATGCTCAATGCGGTGGTAAAAAGCTTTGGCCCGCTGCCGGAAACTCTCAAGCTTTTGCATGTAGCACTTTGAGATCGGAAGATCAAATCATGTTTATTAGCTTAAGTCGCTGCACGTGTTAATTTACATCGCAGGTTAATATAGCCTCGTGCCCTCATATCATTGTATTTGCATGAGAAAGACTAATCAACAGATTGTGAAGAAAACCTCTCTGTTTTGATCCTCGAAGTGTAATTGGGGTTTCTTTTTCCTACATGTATGAAGTTAAGCAGATCTTTGAGTGAGTTGTTTTGGAAGGAATCCTTCGTCTTATATTGATTGGTGAACAGTTTAAGAGTCACTTTCTTGACCAAAAAAAATGAGTATGCGAAGGAAGTATAGCTTGATAAGAAAAAACATTTGAAAGGAAAAATATCATTTTAAATTGAAAAGGAGCCTTCCTCCGTAGTGATAGCGCGTTCTCTGAGAGCCTCATGCAAGTTATATTGATCTTTAAAAAGACTGTTCGTGACTTCAAATAAGAAAATTTTGCCAAACAAGTCTTGCTCGAAGAAGAACAAAGATTAAACCCTCTGTTAATTGAACAGGAGGGAAACGGAAGATTGGATTAACCTTGTATCTGTATCAAACGCGGAAATAAAGAATAACAACTGTTCCGCGTCAAACAAATCAAAGAAACTGGGGATTTATTGCAATACTGTTGTGTTCTTCTGTGTGACAAGGGCAGTATTAGTATTGATGTGTGCGTTTTAGGAAAGTGAAATCAAAGAGCTTTTAGTAACAGGTAGTCTTAAAAAAATGTTAGTCATGTGAACTTTAAGGTTATGAAACAGTCCATTGTTTCACATTTTCCTCCGTCACTTTTTTACCTAATTCTGTTTTACTTCGGAAGGTGAATGGAAGGTTAATTAAAAAGAGAGAAAAGATTTATCCAATACACTGTATGATCATCACATTAACAGAGTTGGTGAACACAAAACAATTGGTTAAGTTTCCCATATTCCAACCTGTTGCATTGTACGAATTGATCGCTATCAAATCAAATCAGAAAACACGGCACATTTGTATTGTTTCGCTTCTTTTTGTGACTGTAAATTGAATCAACACTTGCGGTTCTAGGTGATAAAAAACCACCTGCTCTCAAAAACATGTGTTTCGAAGCGTAGCTAGTGAAAACACATGTTGCGTCTTGCAGCAAACCAAATCTGGTAAAGGGTAATAAGGTTTTTAAGACGATGACTGCAATTGATAAAGCTCAGAAATTGTTTGTGGGTTTATGAATGGCAAAATCATTCGTCTGAGAACGATTAAAATTCATAAAGATCTTTGACCGCAAATGAAATATGACCAATCGAAATGACTGCGGCTTGGTGAAATTATCTCTAATGACAAGGGAAAATAACTTCCTGTTGTTTTGGGTGTTTGTTTCTTAAACGCAGCTCCAATATTTCAATAGCGTTAAAACGGTAAAAGAATAAAAAACGCAAAAGAAAGCCTTATTTCCTTCATATCTGGGTGAGATCTTAGCGGTTTTCGACCTCTTATTTCTGTTTGAGCATTTCTATTTCCTTATCCGAACACTTCAACAAAGATTGAAAACAATCACGTAAAAGTTCGTTTACACGACGGAATCAAGAAATATTCGGTGAGATTCGCTAGTTAAGCTCAGACACCCGAATTTTCCTATCAAAACAGCCTCGAAAAAGTTCAGCTCTCGTCGGCGTCCACGTGAACGATTGCAAATGGCTTTAATTTCTTTTGAAAGGCCGTCTTGTGGAAACAAAGAAGTGGATTTTTAATCTCTGTCACACCCGAACAACAAATAGCTCTAGGAACTCTTAACTTTCTTACTCCATGTCTATAAATGTAAAGGTCTCCTTTTTTTTTTTGCTGGAGGGAAGAGGTCTTTTTTCATGTTCACAGTGGAGAAGACTACAAAAGTTAGAAAAGGAATGTGAAATCAAGCCGAAAATTCTACAATTTACTTTGTCATTTTCGACTGTAGCTTGTTAAATTGTTATCCATCACTTAGACAATATTAGAGATTAAACAGTTAAATTTTAAAAATAAGGCTCCAATTCTTAAAAGTGTTAATCTGATTTCTTTTTCTACAGCTTGGGTTAGTGGGATTTCACCTGATGTTAATGTGCAAGCCAAGATGTAAATTTCTTGTAAGTACTTTCTTTCAGATTGTCGCTAACATTATTAGATGTAGAGAAAGATTTTTCGTCTTGTCACGAGCGTCGGACAGAGAAAAAATTCTGAGTCTCCATAAGGAATCGAACCACAGACCTTCGGATTCCGCGCTTCGATGCGCTACCACTGAGCCACAGAGATTCTACTGTAGGCGAGATCTATTACGAAGTTCTCAAGACACGCCGTCTTGTACACTGCTTGGATCAGCATGTGTCGATAGAGTAATGTTTTTAGATAGAATAAGAGAGATGGCAAGTTTTGGGCTATGAACTTCGTAATAGACCTCGCTCACCGTATCTGTCACTCTCGTGTCAGGACGAAAAACATCTTTCTCTAATTCTTTACCGAGCTCAAAACTTTCCATCTCTCTTATTCTATCTACAATATTAGATGTGTTAAAAGAAATCTTTTGGAAACTTTATCCAGTATCAGTTCCATAAAAATTATCATGTCTAAAGTAATTGTGGTGTATCCGTCGATTTCAAAAGTGAGGTCGTCAAGTCTCTATATACTATGCTATTCCGTGATACTTTTGTGAACAAATTCTGGGGAAGAGTAAACAGTGTACTTTAGCTGCTCGATTCAGGCGGAAGTCACACGAAGTTTTGAAATTTGAAGATGAAACAAAATGTATTGCCTAAAGGGCTATCGTTTTCTTTGCTTTTACTTCAAGTTTTCCTCTCTTATTTACAATTCACAGATTGTTTCGTCAATAATTTTCACCGTGGCAGCCGCATTTCTTTGTTTCGCCGGAGCACTTTTTACTGGGACCGAAATAGCGCCTCTCCTTTCAAAGATGGGCAACTGTCAATATTTCCCTGTGGAGAACTCGTGCAAGTGCTTTCATCACAGCGAACTACGACAAGTGTCGATAATCTTTAGAGACACTGCAAACTGTAATGGTATCCAAAACAAGCTGCGTGACCTGGTATACGGCATGTGTGGCGTGTACAGTGGTGGACTGATCACCTGCATTCTGGCCGCAGTCATGGAGACGGCATTACTGTGTCGCAAAAGACGGTCTAAGGTGCGTTTTATTCAGACTAAATTAGATCAAATTGTCGTGCATATGACAGCCTCTCGGTCACAAAAAGTGAGGTCGTCTCTCGGTCACACCAAATCGAGCTGTTTCAAGGCACTCTTTTGGTTGTAAAGTTTGAAGGTATTTTTTTTCTCTAAGCGCACTTTAGTAGTAATGTGTATGTTTTCCTTTTTCATGTAGGCCACCCTACACTCCAGGTCAGATGGTGATGGCAAATGTACCGTAAATTCTCGCCAGTCTCAAACATCGCAAACAGACCTCAGCGTTATCGAAGAGGAAGACGTTGAACTCGCAGCAACAGAAATTCAACGTTCACCCATCGAAACTCAAGCCAGCCAAACACCATCGAACTTTGTACGAGATGTGCCTTGTTCGCACTACGTGGTCGATATGAGCATTCCGCGACGAGATTACGTTATCAATTATAATTCCAATTCCAGACATGACCCACCTCCTCCGTACACCGAGTGAAAATGTGCCATGCACGTTAGTGGGGAAGGGTTACGGCGGGGAGGCTGAGATCGGTGCTCTTGCTGGCTCAACAGACAAAATAAATAAAAAGCAACAAAAACAACAACAACAAGAACAGAGCTGTTCGTTTTGGAATGAGGATGTGATAGGGAAACTAAAAATCCCACAGACCACTTTATCAAGATAGCCCGCTTGTGAAGTCTACGAGTAAGTTACTTTAACAGATTAAGCCAAATTTAGTTCTGAATCGATCAGCGTATTGAAATTATACGTCTGTAGTGATTAATTCATTTAAGGCTTGTAAATAACAGATGGAAAATGTTGGAAGTGTAATGGCTTCCGAAAATTCTTTGTATTATATGTTAAAATACATCTGTACATATAAAACTGTAAAGGTCATTTTTGAGAATTTCTTCATAGGTAAGGGGCTTTTCCCTGTGGCCAACTAGTCATGGCTACACGCTTTTCAAATTTTTAGATGTCATTGTAAGGATACTCTCATAAGATTTCTGTTTGTAATCACACTTTAATCTCGATCAGTGATTTGATGAACATTCATCGTGAATTATTTTTGTAACCTAGAAATAACTTCTGTTGTTTTCTGAGGGACGTTATTCACTTTGAAAAAAAAATAAAATTATTACATTATTTTAACTTCCTTCTCATTTTATGGCATTGAAGTTGTTTTAGTGCCTCCAACTTCGCGTAGTGATGTGGACAATTTAATTCTTATCCTACAGAGCAGGCGTAATGCTCATTATTTTCTTGGGGAAAATTCCTGCCTCCATCTTTGGTTTTTGCTGCAGTTGTAGGGTGGAGAGAGAAAATACAAGTACGTCTCTCCTCTTAGGTGTACAATTGTATACTAGAACCAACGTGATGAATTGCTCTGGGGTGAGGAGGGATTTCCCAAGATGTAAACAACTAATACGTCCGGCAGTAGCAACTCTCCTTGTCGCTTTAAAACGATGAACCTGGATATAAACGCGAGAGAATGAACGATATGTTACCCGGACTCGAGCCTGTTTCCAAGGGTTCTCTTCCCCTCAGTCCCTAAAGCGCTCCAGGGGCCTCGAAACGACGTAGTTAAGTCTTAAACTAAAGGTCATTATAGATCAGGCGTAACAGGAGGAGATATTTGACTTCCAGGGTTTATTTAAAATATATAATATATCATATTCATTTTACAATTAAGTTATCCTCTGAAACCTAGCTCAGACGATTTGAGTATAAAAATTACCCTGGTAAATAGTAACATCGCCACATCAGATATTGTTGCTTATAGAAAAATAACATAACGACTAAGCAAATAATAATAACGATGGCGTGAAATGTATGTGCATATATTATATATAAGTATAAATTACAAAGGTAGATGCATATGATGAAAATATATTATATAGCACTAATATGAAATCTTTCATCGGAGAATTTTTTTTTTTTACAAACGAAGTTAAATAACATTTCCAAATTTGTTAGTAATGCAAGCATACATCAATAATTTTCCATAAAAAATGGACATTTTTAAAATCTGAAGTGTAATTCCCCCAGCGAGACTTTGCATCAAAATAAATTCAAATTATTTGCGGAATATATCTGGGTTGTTTACAATTCAAACAATAAGCAGCCTTATCGGTTCTGTTACAAACGCTGCCCGTAAATTTAACTGAAAAGTTCCGATTTAACCTGAAACTGGAACTAAATCAGCATGGAAAGCGTTTTTTTTTTCCATATCAAAGTAATAACTTTACGTTAAGGTTGCTAATTTTGCAGCTTTTGCAATATTCTGAGTGGCTAATTGATATAATAGAATTTACTAAAACATAAATAGCAGTTTGCGAGTATATAAGCTACGTTTATCGTGATTATGATGGAAGTTTTAGTACCTGTAATACTTTAGCTAGATTCTATTTTACAACTCTGGTTAAATGTAGCCTCGTCAACAATGACTGACAAGTATAAGCCTGCTGTTAACAGCTAAGAACTTGTAAAACTAAATTCGAGAAGGGTTAAAAATACATCTATGAAAACTGTAAATACAACGAAACGAGGATTAACCTCTCATTTCGTTCGAAAAAAAATACTCGAAAAATACCAGGGTATTTAACGATTCAGTACGAAGTTCTTCGCAGGAATTAACAGCAAGCAATTCAGGTTTGTCGTTTCGGTCTCTACATATAAGGCTAAATATACTTTATGGATAAATGAGGATACAATGCTATATGGGAAACACACGAGAAGGAAATCTGACTGTCTGAAGAGAGGATATGAATGAGGGATTGCTTGATAGGTAATAATGTTTTCAATTAAGTGTCAAAAGCAAAGTGATCACCACGGCCAATATGACTGGTTGAAAGGATGGAGCAAGTTTTCTAGACCAGTCAAAGAGTGAAGGAAAACTACAGTAATCACTTCGACACTCAATTCGTCAGAGAAGATACCTGAACTTAAAACTATTTACAAACATCCCTAATATATTCCCGTCAGACATGTTTCCTGAAAAAAGTGTTAACGTAGAGAAAACATTGGAATTCAAACTATCCCAGAACAGCCGTCAAGATGCTGAACCTTTCCCTGCGAAAAGACTTTCCCTCCGAAAAGACTTTCCCTCCCGTCAATATTTAAATGCACGCGAGACCTGCTCAATGCAATGTTATCTTTGATGTTAAAATAGCAGCCATTAATTAACGTATTTCCGTTAGGTTATAACAGACTGCAAATGTCTAATCTGTCGTTGATAATGCGATAATATTATATAATAAATAATGATTTAATATTATTTTTACTGAAGCCTCAGGTTACGGTTGTAACGCATACTGCATCCAGGCAACGTGTTTTCAAAACTTAATCGTTTGGAATTAAAAAAAAATTGCTAAAGTAAGTGGCACTGCAAGCGATTAACAAGCTGTTTTCTTAACTTCACCTAAGGTCATTTAGCAAGATATTTAAAATGTAATACTTGTTAATTTTCCCAAAGCCCTTTGTAAGCATAAAGCACTAGGCCGATTCCTGTATCAAAAGTCTCACGAAAAGCAAACTTGATGTATATAGACAGGAGGAATTTCAATAACAGTAACAAATATATTAGTTAAAACAAAAAAAGTACAGGACAATTTTCTCTCTTAGATAAAATATCAGTAGTACAAATAGCAGTTAGATTTCTTAAATATTGAAAATAAGAGCTGAGCAGAGTAAAGTAAGGCGACCATAACTAGGGATCTTGGATGAAGATCGCAAGGTCTAATTTGGATGATAGTCTATATGAAATTGATACTTCTCTATTTGTGAGGCAAGGTATAGAAAAGATTTCCTGACCATTTGTTACATGTAACTACAGTGTCTGCTGTGTGGTGAAAGCTGGCAGGTGATGAACAAACTGTTTGTTGGTTAGTCTCCAAAGGAAAGACCCGCACAATCAACAGCAGGTCTGTTATTGTTTTGGAAATCACGTATCCAATTTTACTACAGCTTCTCTTATTACAAGTTCGGAGTTAACATAAATAATTTTGAAGCTTAAATATTGATTAAATAACTCAATTAACAGTTTTGAATGCCAATCAGGTTACTCGGCCTTCAATAAGTTTAAAAATATTGAAATAGTACAAAAATAAACCAGCTACGTGTTTCCAATTGAAAAATTCAATTTAGACGTTCGCATATTGATTTGATAATTTCAATTTATATTGGTACTCAAAAACTCACATTGGCGGTTCAAAAGTATTGTGTTCAAAATAAGAATCATTTTGGGTTACTTCGTCTTCCAAGAAACTATTTTGCAGACTTTTGATGAATGTAAAAATCAACGAGCACCGTTGAAACTGAAGGTACCAGTTGCGGCATTTTCAATGTGATAAGATAAAAATGCAAAATGCCTACTATGCGATATTTATCAATATGTATTGAGTTATACCAAAGCGTGATGTAGAATTCAAAGGGAATCATATATGTACTAGGGGGGGAGGGTGGGGTGGGCATACCGTTGTATTTATCAAACGATTTTCATGGTGAAACATCAGAGAACTTATCCGGCACAGTGATGAACATCGAGAAGGAGTTGAATCCAGACGAGAAGGAGTTGAATCCAGACACCCGAAACAGAATAAGTTCATTCATACATCAACAGATATGCTCTTCTTTTTGCTTTTTGATGAAAACTAAAAGAAACAAACAAGCAAGGAACACTTTTAGGTGGTGTACCGTCAATGCAAGATATCGTCACTAGTAAAGGTATGCAAGAACTAGGAAAGGTATGTTAGAGAAAAGAAATAGGAATGTTGGTAGGACATCTGAATCTAAAAAAACATCCATGGAGCAGTTTTCGATTGATGGAAAACCAAAGTTATTACAGCGCTCAATCACAACAAAGTTTAACGTGACCGCTAGCCAACGAGGAATCAATTTGGAAACGAGCAAATGACCAAGTCGCGATTGTTTAGAGTTTTGCATCTGATTGGTTGAGATAGTGGCGCGAGTTTTCTGGACCAATCACACGAAGAAAAGTTAAACCTTGGCTTTCACTTCCAAGCCAGCCAATCAGCGCACGCAAAAAGAACTAGTCAACTACGTGGTATAAACTCATTAAATATACCTGGTACTGATTAAAATAACAAATGTATAATCATATAATAAATACACTTACTGGTACTGTACGTATCTCCTCGTTTCTGTGTAATTCAACTGAAAGACTACTTGATGAAGACACTGGATTGCTTTTATGACCTGTCACGAGAAAGAGCAATGGCATTTAAGTCAGCACACAAATCAAGCCTATTTCGACGTACACATTCCTCCTCAGTGGTCTGCCACCATTTTCTTATCATAGCTAACTTGGAAATTTGGTCAAAATCAGGGTCGTTTCCTTTACTAATCAATTTGTTGATTCTCGCAGCCTTCACTTGTAAAAAATCGCTAATATTATAGAAGGCATTTGATGCTAACCACCAACTTAAAAGCTTACAAGGTTACCGGTAAACAAAAAAAATACTGTATGTGAACTTTTAAAAACACCAATCTTACTACAATGGCACAATTAACTTTGACTGATAACACAGCTATGTTTTGAAGCTACATCAAAAAATGTTACATTCATATCTGTTTCACTGTTGAAACAAATTTTCCATATCAATAATTCAGAGAATATCTAATACATTAAAAGGCTGTGTAGTGAAGGAAAGGTATACCGACTTTTCGGTGACTGATAGGGATTTGCAGTCTATGAGTTTGCCTTCGAAAGAAATGCAGCCTGGAAAATTTATTACAGTTCAAACCAGACTGTTAAATATGAGTTTTGTAGCAGTACAATTGCTTGAAATTAAAACGTGCCGTTCTTAAACGAAACACAACATCAAATTTGCCACAACGACACTCAACAAATGAACTATGATTACAAACCTCCTTTACTTCGAAGATCATGCCCACTTCCACTGTCTTCACTACGAGACCAAAACGCCTTATGTTAAAACACTTAGGGCCGGTTATTTAAATAAAGTTTAGCCATTGTTTAACAAAACCGTGTTCTTAGCCAACTTCAGTTTAGGCGAACCTTAAATCTTAACGTTTCTTTTTTATGAACAGTTTCAAGAAGTCAAAAGCGAATAATGGAAGGACTATTTATTCAATTAAATCAACCCTTTTAAAGAGAATCCCTAAGGCCCACTGATTGCGTAAAAATGCGGTTTGGGCCAGACCTCGTCTAAATAACCAAATTAAATTATGCCTGTTATACGACAGCTGCAACCTGTGGATGGTACGTGGAGCTACTGTTACATCCAAGGCATAGCAGTATGTTAAGTTTTCCCTGCTTATACCATAGAAGAAAGTGACACACTGTAATATCCTATACAAACTATGCTGCCGGGTTAGATTAATAGATAGCCAACAGATACATAACCTACATAGGGTGAAGTTTTTCCTTCTACTCCATCAGAAAAATATATGCACAAGGGAGACAACAATTGGAAATACATCTGCATCTGCAGTCCGAAGGGTCTATGGATTCTCCCATCCTCAAGTCGCCTGATTTAGAGACTGAGGTTGCTAAATGACTGTATGTTTTGTTAAATCACTAACTGAAAAATCCATTACCTGTTTGCATCTGATGCAGAATGTGAAAAAACCTGTGTTATTGGTGCGGAGCTATCACTGCTTCCTGGTAATCGACCATTAGTCCTCACCTAAAACACAGGTAAACAATATCATAGAATTATGATAGTGTGCTCACATAGTATTACCAAATTGAAGATTTACCTCTGTGAAATCGCTCTGTGAAAACTGTGAACCAGAATTGAATTTAAATCTCAACAAAAGTTCAAGTACTTCCATGCTGCCAAAACGATGTACAGGCTTTTCAAACTGGCCTGATGCATTAAATGAAACCCCAGTCAAGTGATTTCTTATTCAGAGGCTGCACCAATCGCAGATTGGAAAAAACTCCATACACTTCACACCACATTTCCTATCTTTTGTTTGTAAAAGGGTGGTTTAGCTCTCCAATTTCCTTACTAAGTCAGGAATTAAAAAACTCTTACTCAACCTTGTTAATTCTACAATTAAGTCATTACTAAAATTGTCAGACGCTAGCTCTCCAATTTCCTTAATAACTTAGGAATTAAAAAACTTTCAAACAAACTTGTTAATTATACAGTTTAGTTTGCCAAGCACTAGCTCTTTAATAACCTGGAAGTGAAATCCACTTAGTTATGCTATTTAACATTTTATCCAAATAAAAATTTTGCTCACCATTGTTGGTCCCATTGGCCATCTACCAGCTGAAAAACAAATGAAAATTGTTCTGTGTTAGTGGTGGAGTGTACATTAGCTACAACCTCACTATTTGAAAAGTTTAAACATGAAATAAACCTGTAAAAACAGCAAAATTGCTGTAAATAGATCTCCACCAACCTCCACATGTACATCTACACTGGCACAAGCCTGAACTGGCAGATGTTTCTTCTGTTGATGCACTATTATCTTGTATTGAAGACACAACAATTTGTTTTTGTGATGACAGATACCCATTCAAGGGTGGCAATGCTTTGACATTTGTTTTCTTTTCACTCTTCTGGGCAGCATAGTGCCTTAAAAAAATACACATATAAGTTAAATCAATATCAAGTTACTCAAGGGTTATTGAGCATCTACCCAACACTTCACAAATCATGTTCATTCAGAAGGCTTTACATACTTTTGTCTTTTTATGTTTCAGACCAATCCCCTCATCTGTAAATCACAGTCTGATTGACTGTGCTTCCTCAAATAACAATTTTTAACAAAGCAAAATCTATAAAATACTTTAAGAACTTCAACTGAGTTGTACACTTCCAGCCTCTAACCATTTCCTTCACGAGAGTGACCAAAAAACTAATTTCTCTTCACAATATCAATAAACATTAAGACAGAAAGGTGACGAGAATTAGGAAAAATATAAGCCAAGGGATATTGTTTGAACAAACCCCACATTCATAGAACTCAGTTACAAAACAAGGGAAATGTATTGCAAATGTGGTGCAGAATTGTTATTGAGATCAAGGAAGTGAAAGGGTGTATTACATTAACCTCACACAAGGCTTAAACAATGCCATAAAGTTGAGAGCACCAACCATAAAGTAACCTCATTTTCCCTGTAAGAATAAAAAAGCTCACTAACCTGCAAGGATTTCTCCACACAATAAAGAGAAGAAGGACTACAATGCAAAATGCACTGATGGTGCACCCAATAATGATACCAAGCTTTATATTGTCTGGATTATCCTTTAACTCTGACAGCCTTGGCTCTACTGATGTCAGAGGAGGATCCTTTGGCTCTTTTTCTGTGATAAAAGAAAAAAGCACAGAAGCAGTGCTGTTAAAAAATTGCCAAACATGAATCCAAGTTTCAATAATTGCTAACGTTGTACTAAAATCCCTCCATTTAAGTTCAGTCCTATGAGGCAGCCCACCACTGCTGGAGCTTACTTCAGCTGCTGAGAGTCAAAGTGACCCCTTGGATAGAACACTAGTCCAACCAAGTAACCCCCCCCCCCCCCCTCACACCCTGCTCCTTCATTTCACTTGGTCCCTCTAACTGTAAGCTGGTTTCATTTTAAATCCTGGGAGGTGAGAGACAACATTAGAGAAACCGTTATCTTCTAAAAATACAACACACACATTTCCCTGGCTAACAGCCTTTTTGATCTGGTCCTTTTAGGATCTTCTCCTACAACTACTCCATAGTTTTACAGTAGTTTCAGTTGAGAAGATTTACTCTACTCTACAGGTGTTTAAACACCTCCATGGGTTTTCAACTCATTTTTCAGTGCATGGAAAGGAGAACAAACAATGCCTCATGGTTTGCAATATTGCAAAAAAAAATTCTATCAGTATTTCTAACAGCCACAACTTTTATCTTTTGAAGATCATTAACAGAGAGCAGTTGCATGGTATGATGAGAAATTTTACTGTTGATATTAAGCTTACCTTTGGTAATTTTCACTATTTTGGACCACTTTCCAGGAATGTGATCATTATACTCTGCACGAACTTTAAAATAGATGAAAATTTTCTTCACATACAGGGTGGTTGTCACTTTATCTGGAAATCTTCTAGAATGTGGTATACTAACAGTCTGTACTTTCCATTTGTCATCTGCTAGGTGTGTGTCGTTTGAAAAAAGAATGGTGAAGCTCTCAATGAAAGCATTGAACACTCTAGGACACTTCCATGACAGCTGTACCTGACCGGATGGCAGAATGGTGTATTCAACATTTGGACCAACCCTTTCTGCTACAGAGGGCGGCTTGATTGTTATTGTTTTAGAAAAAGGTCCAAATCCGTGATTGTTCTCAGCACGAATCTTGAGGTAGAATTCTGTCCCTTCCTTGATGCCTGATAACCGTTGATGGAACTGTTTAACCCTACTGCCAAAAAACCCCAATGGGTAGGATTCATTTTTCCACATGGAATCTGGATAGGACTTGTTGTAAGTGTAAAGAACTTCAAAGCTGATGAGCTGTCCATTAGGTTTAAGGGGAGACTCCCATTCCAGTTCCACAGTTCTAACAGTCTTGTATTCATATTTGATATTTTGTGGAGGTGAGCTTAGTTCTGAAATAAAACAAAAGTGCAAAAGCTCAGAAAACAAAATTCTGTCCTCAACTACTGGTTTTTTTTGGCAAGGAAAAACAATATCATTTGGTGATAAAACAATTTTTCATACCACTTAATGGAAGTTTACAGTTCTTGAATGCAGTGCTAACACCAGGGAAGATCTCTTTCTCAGATTTATAGTGAGACTGAACAGAGATTGTGTACTCTCTTCCAGGAGTAAGTCCACGCAAGACAATATTCTCAGAATAAACTGTTCTCTTCACAGGGACATGTTTTATCCTGCTTCGCAAGAAATATGTCACTGTGTAATGTGTTGTGCTTCCTGAAGACAAAGGTGTTTGCCACGTAAGCAGGATTGAAGTTGGACTGTCAACTGTACAAACCAAATGAATGGGTCTAAGAGGGGGTAGTGGATCTTCTGTAGGATCTGGAGTTCCTGGACCTATTGAAAATGGTAAAAAATGTTTAATGCCTGGGCAAATAAACAGCACATGTACCTGTTTACAGTACATACTAGGGCACCAAACTCATCTATTGTTCCCATCTGGCTAAACCACACTACACCAACACTTCCACAAGCACAGTCGTTTGACCTCTGTGTTGTAACAGCCCCACTCCTTAAACATCTAGTTTACATATAAAACAAATTTTATCGCCTACCCCTGTCAGTGGTGACATAAGTTGCTCCTGGAGGACCTAAAGTACTACCATCAGAGGCCATCAGCTTAATTAAATATCGGCTTCCAGAACCTGCACAAAAAAGAAGATTAATCATCAGGGTAACAGCCATGTGTGTGGGAAAACAAAGGAATACAAACTTTTAAATTTTCTGGACAAAAGATTTGAAACATCACTACTGAAGTACATGTGCAAGTTGGAAAACTTCTGTACTACCCTGCCAACCAATATTTTTTTAAACTGCTATGAACAATTTATCTAATTGCAATTTTATTCAAAACAATATAATTTGTTTGGCCTGAAAAATGTATGAAAAAAGTCTTCAGCCATCAGACATCTCATCTCATACGTGATGGGACATAATAGTGAGTTAAAAAATAAAATTGCACATATTCTTGTTAAAATCCTCTTAACCATGCAAAATGTCTTTGAAACATTTCACTACTTCCTCAGTTTTGAATAGCAAAGATTGACCCCACTGTTTGCAGTTAGTTTTGCAATTGTTTTACATGAGAACAGTGGATACCATATATCAAGAATGTTAGTTACAGATTCTGCCTTGATGAGATTTCTACCTCTTGGTGGAACTCCTTTCTGTTTCAGTTTATTCAGTGGCAATAAAATAACATTTTGTTTTTGTTTGTGTTGTCATCATTCCTCTAACTTACTTAATCCATGCAGAGTGTAAGTTTTCTGCCATTTGTTAACAATGAATGGTCCTTTTTCCATGCTGTGATCTTGCATCTGGACATAAAATAAATGATACTCTTCTACTGAGTGTTTTCCATAGGCAGGGGGAAGCCATTTCACGATTGCTGTGGTTGAGTTATGGTCTGCAATCCATACAGTTGGTGGGCTGATCACTGTTTAGAGAAAAAAATCCAAACCAAGTTACACTAGTGCAATTTAAATGTTTGTCATTTTATTGCTGTGTACTCTAAGTTGCCAAGCCTTTTGATTTAGATAGAAACCAGTATCTAGTTAGCATGATCACAAAGTAATGTACATTTGAAAAGTAACAACCTTTGTGTCATAACAAGGTTACCCCTAGCCTCACTCTTATTCAAGGGCTTGGCAATCAAGCACACAACTTTAAAATGGACTATTTGCAAACAAGTCTAGAAAGCAATCCATGACTCTATTGGTGACTCAGACTTAATTTATACCTCACACAGCTCTTAATCCTTTGATGCATAAGAGTTTCTAACAACAAGTTTCTCTTCACAATATCTCCCCTGAATCACACATCAAGGCCACCAAAATAAGGGAAATGATGACCAACTTAAGAGGCTTGTGATTATTAAAAAAAATTCTCCTTGTCAGCACCTATGGAAATGTATAGAGAGCAGTATAGAGAATATGCACCCTAATGTTACGGTACAAAGAACAATTATGCACAGTATCTTCTAATCATTAATTCTTGCTGGCACTACTTACCATTAGATGTCTGATTGAGAACTCTTCCTTTCACAGCTCTGCTTAAAGGCCCTTCACCTTTCACTGTAGCAGCAGCCACTCTGATCGTGTAAGATGTTCCTTTAGACAAACCATTAATTGTCTTTTTAAGAGTATGCCCCGGAACTTCTACAGAGCTTGGTTCTCCCTTGTCATACTCTTTCTTGTAGGAAATCACATAGTTTTTTATGATGCCATTGCGATAGTCTCTAGGTGGTGGTGCCCACTCCACATCAAGACTCTAAAAGAGACAAACACAATGAATGCCTTTTCTTTGGACACATAATTTCAGGTTTAGCAAGATCAATCTTACTTAGATCATGCAGTTTGAGTAAAAAAAATAATAATTATAAAACTGGTGGTGAAATGTTATATAAATCTTACATCTGGTGTTTGACTGGAGACTTTTATATCAACTGGTGCTTTGGCTGGTCCTAAATGAGACAGGAAAAAGAAATGTTAGATGATGCCTCCAATGTATAAAAACTATATACAAATACACAAGCAATATCAATGCACAAATTTCCCAGAAGACCCCATTTAGACTTGTATGACATTGTATGGTTGCCACTATTACCATCAGAAAATAGCTCTTTTGGTCACACAATTCCTACAGGGTTCATGTAGATAATAGTGGCAACTGGAATACATCATATGATTCAACGTGATGATACACAGAGAATTCCAGTTTGAAAACAGCCAATATGTTTTTCCATGTTTTCTTGCATTTTTTCTGATTACAATTAAGCTGGCTTGTAAACCACATTCTGTTTGAACATGAGGGGTACAAATTTGCATACTCATGTAATTGAGCACATAGAAATGTAAAGGTTAGATGCTGAAAAATACTTTTAACCATTGGTGGACTCAGTTAAATTTTTTACTCTACTTTACAATAAATAAATAGAGCACAACGCAACATTAGATGAGAGATCTGGACACTAGTTATGATTTGCCCGATAGGTGCCTGGCGCGAGCCACTTGTAACAAGCTGTACTTTGCATATGTTTCTATCATTCTCTTACGAGGATGCTCGCCTTTCTAGGATAAATCTCTCGATGAAATAGACAAAGTCTTATCTAATAAACACTTGTCTTCAATGCAATAACCAATTTAAAAATAATTAATGTATGTAATAACTTACGGTCTTCAAGTGTCCTCTGCACAATTGGTTTTGATTCATACCCAAAAGCTTTGGCATAAGCCTTCATATAAAAACTGTAATTTGTGTATCCCAACAGTCCTTGCACTTCATAGCTGTGTGTATCTTTACTGATAACTTTGGTTTCAGGTTCGCCTGGTTTCCCTAACTGTTTGTAATGCACAGTGTATGCACCAATAATATGGTTACCAATAGGAGGACTCCAGTTTATAACAATGGAGGATGATGATAATGGCAGAGCCACAATATTCACTGGTGGGCCAGGTCGATCATCTATAAATTATAGAAAAAAAGGCCATAAGCCATGTGTGGATAGAGCAACTTATTGCTCCTCTAACAAAATTCAAACTTTGAAGTTCACATCAGTAAAAAGAGGGACTTGCCTACAGTAGAACTCTTCTACCAAAAAGAAGGACACCCACTGAACTCTTGCCCAGGTAAATCAAATCATTGGTTCTCAGTAAATTGTCAAAACTAGTTTCATGAATTGCTAGTGGATTATGGAACTCAGGTAATGTAATACAATTTCAAATTTTCTTTTAACTAACAGTACATTACCTTTCTTTTGAACTATCAGACAAGCTACGAACTGGGTACTTCCTGCTTCATTTTGTGCAAAGCACTGGTACAATGCATTACTGGCTGATGAACTGAATTCTGTCAAGTCTGCTCTTCCCTTGCCATAAGTAACTTTTGTGATATCACTGGAATTCAGCTCTTTCCCATTTTTAAGCCAGTATACTGAAGGAACTGGTTCTCCACTTGCTGCACATTTCAACTCCAAGGGTTCATCAATCATCCACACCAAACGGGGAGGTGTTAACGTAAATTGAGGTGGCACTAATAACAGGTATGATAATTTCAATTGTTGAAAAGCTGTCTGTTAGGTCAATGTCTTTTGGTGACACAAATTCTTTAACTCAAAACTAAAAATTATAGCAAACAATGATTTTACTACAACTCCCTTGATAGAGGCTATTAATTTTGCAGGAAAATTGGGTATGTATAAGGGGACACAAGTGGCCTCAACTGTAAGTATCTCCTCACACAGAGATTATCTCTGCAGTTGTCAATGGTGCAATAATATGTCAAGGGAAGTGCTACTCATTTGTCATCTTTTTCCCTGAGAAATCTGGCCAATGTCACATGTTTGCTGCTTCTACCAACCCATTTTTTGCTTCACATTACATTCATAACACAGCTCAGAAGGTTAGCAATGCTAGGATAATATCCTAGCATTCCTTCAATAGTACTTATAATTGAGGCCGCTGGCATTCCCTCATGCTTGCCAAAAATAAAGAAAGTGGCACCATCTCCAAAAATATTTAAGTTTTGGAGCCATAGATGCCTATGGCCCCCAAACCCTTTTTTTATGTTTTTGTATCAAAAAATTAATATTCTTACAAAATCATTTCAACAGGCATCTAATTGAACAAGACAAATTACAACAATGTAACAATACCTGTGACAAACAGCCAAACAATTCTGGAAATGGTTTTTCCATCTGCATGTGCATAACACTCATATTGGCCTCCATCATTTTTTTCAACATTGGAAAAATTGAGATTGTTAACAGCATAAGTGATATTAGAAACATTGTAAGTTTTCCCAGAATGTTCATCCAATTTCCTCCACTGCACCATTGGAAGGGGATATCCAGATGCAGCACATTCAATTACAGCTGAACCTCCCTTCACAATGGTTATGTTTCGATGTTCTCCAAGAAATTGTGGGCTTGTCCTATTTCTTGATGAATCTAACAAGCAATAATATGTTCAATTATGACAAGTATCACACTATAGTTCCACTTTCAACTCAGGTACACACAGTGTTTGTTTATGTAACTCAATGTCTGTTTGTGTCAATTAATACATTTTCAACTCTTTTTAAATATTATATGCCAGTATTGATTACATACATCCCAGTAATTTTAACAAAAGTATAGAAAAATAGGAGGCTAGAGTAGAAATATAGGATTTTTATGGGAATCAGCTCATCAACAGTTTGATGCTTGTTCTCACATCATTCCATACAGAATACATTGTCATTAATTGCTATATATAACAATGTTTACAGTGCTGAAACTGCTAGTCAGCTCGAAGTCACATGATAACTTCACTACCTCAATCAGGAGCAGGTACTGTCAATAACTTAACAAAAATGTTCACTTTGAGTAGAAGTAAGCTCTGCTCTCTAAACAAATTTGTGCCCAACTATCTTAAAAATGTCAATGATGTGAAATCAGCTTCATAACTGCAGGAGTCACTTGATAACTTACATGGGTTCAATTGAAATTAGGAATTATAGAGCTATGCAAGAGAGCAGAACTTACAAATAGCACTCTATAATCAGATTAGAGAGTATTATTTTAGCCTTAAGTAGTAAAGTTTGGTCTTTCAACTTAAGTATTCATTCGATGAAATCATAATTTTATTCTGTTGCTCTCTCATAAAGATCCCCACAGGTTAGCTGGTCAAAGTATACTTTCAGACACATCCACAAGATCATATGACAGTGATTTCATCTGAATAAGGATTATTCCCTTTATAACAAGGAATGATCCTAAAATAAATACTGACCAATTCATATCCCTTGAAAACTATCAATTTGGTACATATCAAAATCACAAAGCCAGTATGAAGCTGGGTAAAAAAAGGTTTCAATGAACCCTAACATTGGTAAAATCAAACATCAGAAGTACTACAATTACCAGCAGCTAGGACTGTAAGACTTCCAGGATTGCTGCGGCGCATTTTGACCACATTTTCTGCCACACAGCTGTAGTTTCCTTCATCTGTTTTTCTGACATCTTTTATTTGTAGTACTCCTTCTATCAGCATGAAAATTCTGTCATTGGCTTCTAAACGGGTGCCATCTTTTTCCCACCTTAAAGTAGCTGCAGGAGAAGCATGTCGGATTTGACAGGAAAATCTTGCAAAGGATCCTACCAATGTTACTGTGTTTTGCGGTTCCCATTGAAACTTCTTAGACATACCTTTGAACACACAAATCAAGAAGAAAAACAAAATTAAAAATCAATAATAATATTGATTGCAATAAACAACTGTAGAGGAAGTTTACACAAAAATATTAGGATGTCAGATCTAAGGAGTTGTATTTTTCAAGGTAACTCGCCATTCTGAATTCATAGACACGCTATATTTAGGAAACCAACACTATTTTTATATCAATAAAGAGGTTATTGGATGTAGAACAAAAAAAAAAATTATGAGCAATTTTAGTTATTCCACTGATGAGGGGAATGAAGCCCCTCTCTGGTGAAATGACTGAACACCATTCACACAAATTAATCAGATTTCAAACGTAGTCTTTACTGAAATGTAACTGGTCAGTATGAATAACAAAACATCATTCTTTTAAAGGATGTGATCATATCCCTATAATCTAACTTGTTTTCTCTTAATACTTAATCTGTCAATTCCAGTATCAAAAACCATTATTTACCAACACGTTGCATTTTTGGGCAGCCAGAAAGGAAATACTAGACTGAAAAAAAATGCCAACTGCACTTTGTTCTTCACTGTGAAGTTAACAATAAGGGCAAATTTCACAATATTCAATCAATTCCAAATAGCTAAAACTAATTCAATTGAAGAGGGGGATTATTTCAGTGGTATTAAGACACATAAAAAACCAACTCTCAGAAAGACATTTTCTTCTTTGATCTGTAAATTCACAAGTTTAACACTCTTTGGGTCCTGATTTTCCCTCAATTCGTTTCTTTTAGTTTTTTATGATAAGAAATTGGCCTGTTCCCTTTCAAAAACCATATCACTCATCTTAAGTGCTAAGCAAGAGTGCTAATAAGTTTAAACAGGATGAAGTCCTTCACTGCACAATGTCGCTGAGGAGTCTTACATAGATTATGACACCTTGATAGCTTTAAACAACTTTTTTACAAAAATACCCTTTTTAAAAAACTCAAGCATAATTGAATTTTAAATCATTTTTTTAAGGAAATGGTGAGCTAAAGGGATTAACTTGATATGACTGAAGTTCAATCGTTAAAAATAGCCTGGCAAAGGTTACAAGTTATTAATTTAAAGTAGAGAAAATGTAACCATAAATTTGATGAAAAATGACAGTTAGTGACCTATTGGTTAATGTTTCCATCCCTCTATTCAAACTTGTTTTTCAAAAATGATAGAGGACAGCTGAAGAGAGATTCTACGTTTCCCTTCTCACGCAATCGTAATCAAATCAAGCAACAGACTGCACTTTCTATCAGTTTACCAGCGTAATAACGGATGTAGGATATATTAAGAGAACATAAGAAAAGTGTGTAAATCACAAGCGGGAGGCAAGTGATTTACAAACTTTTCTAGTGTTTTCCCTACATCCCAAGTGGTTTAATGCACCAGGAAACCAATAGAAAGTGAAAAACTATTGGTTTACCAGTGCAATAAATCAGGCCACTTAAAGCTTCAGTAAGATTTTAAATCATAATAAAAGCAGATGTGTTCCTGACTGGACATGTTGACGCCATGTACAAACCTTCCCCTCTATCAATAAGAACAAAATATTTTGCAGCTCCTTCATATTGAAGCTAGTTTCACTCACCATAATATCTCAAAGTACACATATGCATTCAGCACAGGAAAAGTTTAGAGAACAAAAGATGCTTAGGACTCGCTTGTGACACAGCGCTTCATTAATGGATGAAGACACAGCTGACACATGAGCCAACTGATTTATAACTATTAAAAGGAATTTCTTCTTTTAAGCTTCAATGTTTGCATGTATTGCGTGAGTAAGAACAATCAGAATATAAAGTATACATACTTGTGCAATTCAATGTGATTTGTTACACGCATCATCTGACTATTCTTAGGAACTAATGATCATATGTGAATGATTTGTTTCAGAAAATAAACCACATCCAGCATGTTTAGTAAATTATAAGCTAAATTAATTGTTCTTCTTGATTCTCATTACGATCTATTGGATGACAGCTGCTCAGCATAACCATTAACAATGTTCCGCTCTTTTGTTGTGTAAAACAAATACTATGACTAGACTCTATGTTGCCATGCATCTGTCTAGTAATGAGTAAAAAAACAACGTAAAAATGTCGTAAGAACATCAGTGACACATTCTGCTGTGCCTCACGTGCCTGTTTTTGTTCCCATCTCATTTTAATATCATCTGTGATCTAAGATTATCTCTTGGCATTGTGACCCATTTTGCAGGTTAAAGTGGAGATTTTGGCAGGTTAAAATGAATTGAACCCACTGCTAAAACCTTTTTTAAGTCTACTTGCATCCTTGCTTGATTGTTTAGACTGTTTTGTGGTCATTTTTCCAGTTGTTAATTTTCAATGTCCTCCGTGGGCATAAGAACAGTAATAAAGTTTTTGTTCTTGGGCGTAAATATAATTGTTTGTGCCCTTTCCAGAGTCATTTTATCCTCATGGCCCATAGAATCTTTCTGTTTAATACTATACCTACTACACAGAGTAAATCATCAGAATAATGGATATAAAATCTTATACGTTTTCCATAAAACCACCATTTTAGTACACAACTAGCCAATGTGTTTTTACAATAGCATAACAAAAAAATTTGCTGTTTGGTGAAATTTAAAACTCAGAATAATGTATGATGTCATATTGCAATTTTACCTTTGTTTAAAAACCTACAAAATTACTGTAGTTTGTCCGTGTTTACATTGCATCAACCAATATTTCAATTAAGTGGTGCCTGGATATCAAATTTTCCATGTTTTTCTGTGAGGTCATTAATTGTAAAAAAATATATCATAATAGTCGAGAAATTTCCTAAAGTAGAATTCCTTCCTAAATGGAATTTTCAAATTTTAGACAGTACACTGAAATATGTTGTGAGGGGAGCTACAAACAGAAACAAATCATGTTGGTTGCAAAGCACACCTACATTGAACAAAATTCCTTGTAAAACGAAAAATATTTTGCACGTGATCATCGATAAATGCCATAGTTGATTCTCATTGGCCCTCAAAACAAAGAGCCGATCCCAACTACACATACACAACTGCTGTTTTTACAAATGAGCACAAAAGACCCGCCATGTTTTGTATCAGTAAGAACACAAGCGCTTAAAAATTCTTAAACGTTTCAAGATAAAAATTTCACCGAACAAAAGGTGTCTTTTTTCTTAGTGCATGAGTGTGTGTTTTTTTTTTTTTCAGACATGAATCAAACGACAAATTGGGAATTCCACCAACGACTGTCTTATTTTGATAAGGTCATAAGGTGTCCTAAGCACAACGATAATGAGGCCACGAATAAAAGACGAGCTGTAGTCTCACAGCGTGGTACTTGTACGTGCGTGCAACAACGAAGATAAACCCTCGTCTTTGAAGATAATTTTAAGTGCTTTTTGTCTTTGGAACAAAATTCAAACACTTTTTATCTTCTAAAGTTGACGGAAGCACAGAAATCCAAGTGTGCCTCGCCGATCTCTCGCACGATTTAGCGGAGCAAATAAAGCGACGTTCTTGTTGCCACAATCATATTGTTGCGATAGTTAACACGATCGATAGCATATTTACTATTTCGTTGATAACATAAAAACGACAAGAACACTATATAAGAGCATTAAGCCTTGATCTAAACGAGCGATTCCAGTTCATCTCATCCGCTCACAAGGTTCTCAGCTGGGGCAAAGTGCATTTTACTCAACAGCTTAACCTTTCTGTCCATCCTTACAAAGACGTAATATTTACTCTAACAAGTTACGCATAAAACTATAAAGGTTAAGATTTAGAGAGAATAAGCTGGTGTAAGAAGATAATGCAAACAATATGTTTGACAGTGGCGGAGAAACATTATCGCCGAGCTTATCTGTGATCAACGTTCATACTCGAATAGCCATCAATCGTTCAGAACGATTTCAGTTGCTTCTCAAGGTTAAACTTTGGGGTCACTGAAATATTATAAACATGTTTTAAAACAAATCACACTCTTTGAGTGAAGAGATAATTGAGACGTTCTTTGTAAAAGACGACTAAACTAAAAACGCACAATCGGGCAACAATCGCGTGATTATAGCGAAGATGTAAATACACGAAATCGGCATGAGGAATGATATGTACGCTAGCAACTGGAATCCTCAGTTTTTTTTTAACCGCCTTTTCCCTTTAACCATTTTTTTAAGGTCAGCCAAGAGATTAACATGAAAAGATCTGTGGTTTCCAAATAATTTTTACCACAGCCGGAAGAGAGCTTATTCGGAAATAGATCTTTAGCGATTAAAAATGGAACTGCGCGATTGAGCACGGTAATTTGGCCGCGTCGGTTGGAAACATGAACTTCCAAACATCACGTCAATGAATTTGTTCACTGAATCGTACAAAACGATTTACAAACACGTACTCTGTTCATTACTTACCAGCAACATCCAAACGAACTTTGCGACTAGCAATTCTGCCTCTTTCATTTGAAGCAAAGCATTGATATTCCCCAACATCGGGTTTGCTCTCCCGAGTATGGATTACTCTTGTAATGTGCAACGCTCCATTTGAGTCAATCGTCCTCCTTGAATCTGGAATGATTTCCTGTCCATCTTTTTCCCATGTGAAACTGGACGGAGGAGGCTTCCCATTCACTCCACAATTTAGCGTAACTGGCTTATTTTTGTGGGCTACGGTGTAGCTCGGCTCTCGGGTGAACGAAATAGGAACCAATCCGGAAAATGTGCCTGAAAATTATGTTTAACACATAGTTAGTAAGACTAATCAAGTCCCAAGTGAATGGTTTTTTTTTCTACTATATCCACAGAGTAGAAACTCGCTACAAAAGGTTTGGGAAATCATGGTTTAGTTTACGAAAGCAGGCAGGAAATCACGAGAACTTAATCAAATCCTTCCTTCCCACTTGCACACCACAGTTTATACTCCTCCGTTCACGATGAACGAGCCCTTCAAAAAACACTCGACAACAGAGGGAAAAAATTCCTTCAGTTGTTCGACTATGAATAATGACTACATATTGTCGAATTTGACCTTCACTTTAGGGGTAAGTCTAGGGCAACTGGCAGTACTTATCAACTCAAGATCACCGGCAGTCACCCTTGGTTATTCCGTTTAAAACGGGGACAGAACAGATTGCGGTTGAGGCGTTTGCTATGTTCGTTCGCCATTAGCGTAAAATTTCGCGCAAAGAGAAACGTAAACAGCTAAACTATAGACAAAACAAAACAGTTCTTCAAAGTTTCTAAAAGAGCATTAGCATAAAGCCCCATTCAATGAATGTCAGGCTAGGTTCGGTACGCTAAACGAACAACTGAGTCATCGTAATAACATGATGTAGTTCGTTCGCTACCACCATTGTGTGTGAGCAGCTGCCGCGCTTCACTTGGTCTATTCTCAAAACAATCGCTCTTATCCACTAGCTATCTCATGCTTCATCGGGGTTGTTTTTGCGCTGGGTTTATTCTAAATGTACTCCTTTTCAGTGCAGCCTCCACATCCCCACCCGGGGATGCTCTGGGTTGTGGTTGTTAAGCTAGGAACATCTCCGTACTAGAATCAAGAACATTACGCAGCGCGATGCAAATGTAACAGAGGCGCTGCGCGATTGAAATACGCTCACCTGAAGCTCCCGTAGCTAAGCAGGCCATCCACCATGCAACAAACAAAGAGACGAACATTTTCCCCGCGAGATCTATTCTAAAATTACAACTACATTTGGCCTAACAGCATTTGAGGTAGGAAACAGGAGACTCAATGTTGATTTCGCTCGCTGACAGATGAAATGTGACATGTCTTCCCCGCTATTACCAGAACCAATAAAAGAAGCTAATAAAGACCCTCTCTACAACAAGCCAATCAGCTTCGTCTTGCATAAGTTATGTGACATGTAACATACGTTACGGCTGTCAATCAAATATACAAGCAAAAAGGCTTCACTGACTGGTCAGTTCTCTTGTTTGGAACACCGGTTGTGATATTCATTGGCTGACGGCCACTTTCTAATTTATCGATTCGTGTTGTTGACCCTGTAAAAACAATAGTAACAAAAACATCACTGCCCTCTGTCATCTACGATTGCTTTGTGTACGAATAGTTCTTGAAAAATCGTTCGACTCTGACAAGTGGTATACAGTTTCGAAAAACTGCTGGTTCAATTTTGCTTTCCTTTTTTTCAAACAAAGGAAATATCCACAATAAAGAAATTATACTTAAGAAACAATTGCTCCTAGAAATGAGACATTTGTATTTTCGAAAAACGTCTTTTGACACAAATGCAATTTCCGTTCAAAACATTTTACGGAGGCATTGTTTATGTTTTTTAATGAAATGTCAAGGCCAATCTAAAAACGTTCGTTTATTGGCGATAAATTATTGATGGAACATGTTTTTAATGACTGCCTGTTGTAAATTAGTTTTATTTCAAACTGTTCTTGTTTCCTAAGAGCTCAGTGAAACTCGAATCACGTTATCAAGATCTCAAAGGACATATTCGAGGTTCACTAAAACCTGACCGTGAATCGGCAACGGACAAGAATCGATCATACAGGGTTTGAAAAACAAATCACCCAACCAAAAAAAAATATATTTGTCATATTTTATCACCGATGAAACCCGGATTGAAAGAGAGTGCCACTTGTGGTACCAGTGGAACCTGAGAGAGCTAACGAGGTTTTTTTGTTTGCAACATGTGAATATTGTATTTGAACCCTGAACTCTGCCGTACGGCTTATGTGGCTGCAAACAAACGTAACACTCCTGAATGGTAAAGCTGCGTAGTTATTTTCGTTAGAGCTCCGTATCAAAAATGGCCAACACCTAAACTAATATTATGTTTTCAATGTTTCCTTAAGAGGGTGTGAAACCTGAATATATATTTCAACACAACTAGCAGCAAAAACGCAAACTCTTTAATTATTAAGTTTATATTTGAATGTGACTTTCCGACTTCCCAAATAAAGTTCCGATATTCCGGTCTGAGATTTCGAATTCGGCAAAGAAGCTAAGACTGATCTACCGAAGAATATTCAAAGCTAGCCGCATTTTCTGTCTACTGTGACGGTGTAATTTAAAGAGTTTTCCTAAATTGTGTATATATGGTTCACCTTATCTCGCCATAAAATGGAGACTTCATTACAACGTAACGCCACTCCTGAAAGTATTTCGATAATTATTACTCAGAGCTGACGCAAATTGAAAAGTGCTGATGCCAACTTGAAACAATGCGGTAAATGGTGAAGGAACATTGCGCATCCGTCGCATTGACTAATCGGATATTAAAATCCAGGAACACAATTTTACGTTCATGGAAGCATATGCTCGTTACGAAGTTTTGTTGAGGTCAAAAGCCGACGCCAATGAAAGAGTATTTAAATTAGGGTTTTTGAAAGTCTGAAGGGTTGTGGATGCCAGGGTTGTTGCGAACAAGTTGTGTGCCGAGTCAATCTTTGCTCACTGCATAATTTCGTTTTATGGCTGACAGCGAAGCACTTGTTCGTTCATGCGGTGGGTCTTTGAGTACCCTTGAATGTGTGTTTTCTTTTCTTTTCGTGTTTTTTTTGTTTTGTCTTTTTTTGAACGCGAAAGTATCTGGTGTTTTGCTAGATCTTGTCTGCACTTTATTAATTTCTCTAATGTTAGCTACGAATGCAAACGCAAATTTTGGGAAACAAACCTTATTTATACAATTTCAAAGAAAGCTGTGAAAATTACAAAGCTACCGCGAATTTCTCGGCAAAAAAATATCGTAATAGTAAACAAAGCAGTGAAATCAAATGCGTTAATCCCTTTTGAAAGTTTTGAAATCTTTACACGTTCAGGAGGTCGCTTTTAAACTAATGACTGCTGTGGAGAGCTCTAGAATTAACTTCATTCTTTCATTATTGGCTTGATAATAAGTAAAGTTTCTATTAGTTCGAGAATTCGCTTCTCTGATGAACGATGTACTTTTGAAAGACGTTCTCAATTTTGACACTCATTCAAGACCTTATCACGAAACGGAAATAAACACGAGCAGCCACAACCGCAGGCGTTTGAGTGCATCGGAGACTTCGCAAATATTCAAGTCACGTTCTGAATCTTGTAGGCCGGAAATGCGTAACAATCTCAAAAGAATACATTATTTACTTTTCCTATTATTCAATCGTGTAACAAAAACAATAATTTCAAATTTAAATGAAGAAAGGGCGCTGGTTTTACTTGAAATGTATTTACGGAAAAGCATTTACGGAAAAGCTTCTCTTCGGCCACAAAATATGTAGAGTTTTCTCAGCAAATAATTCAGTCTTCATTCTCTCAGAATCAGTTGAGAGGAGAGCAGTGTGGGGTCAGTCTCCTCAGCAGTTGGCGTAAAGGCCGCATTGTCTAAATCTCTTGAGCTTTTCAAATTCGCTGCTTGCCAAAAAGGTTCAGAAGTAAAACCTTAAACGAGAAATTCTGATTCAAATATTAGGATTTCTGAAAGGATTAGAAAGTTGGCATGGATAAAAATTAAGAAATCAGAGGGAAAGATGTAGAACACAGTCTAATGGATAACTTATCACAAGTATGCTAGAAGTGATTGTTCTGGAGATTCAAGCAAACGTGATCACTGTATCTAAAATAAACTTCTACAAATGTACATATCCGCAGAGTAACACTTGACATCAATTGTTTATCAAAAGGTCACGATATAGCACTTAACTGTTCCAATGTAATGTTTCTTCCTTGGAAGTACAACCTCAGACAATTCTTATGCTAAAAAAGCTGTTTGCGCCTCTGAGTGAACGATCGGTCTTTTTCTGGAGAGAAAAAAGAACTTTGTTTACGTTGGAAAATATTCCGTGCTGTTTGCTATGCAGTTTCAGGTACTCTCTAAAGCAAATTAGAGGTCAATACTAACAAAATACGTTTGATCTCGTCTTTCAGTAGAAACGGTTCACGCCATGCAATGAAAGTCATGGAGAGGAAGGAACGGCTGTAGAGTGAATGAATCTTCTTTCTAACGGATTTTTGCATTTTAACGTATTTGGTAGAATGACTTTATTAGTTTTTTTTTTTTTTAGGCATCAAAGGTTGTCAGATTTTGCAATCATTCAAATATGTAATCAAATACTAGGAATGCGGCTCGCCAAAGCGGCCTCACTATAACAAAGTGCTAGGATATGCCAAGTGGATTCTTAACTCTGGCTGCAGGCCTGGGGCTATAAATAAATAATTCTGCAAACTTGTCCACTTCTGTCGCAAGACTGGACTTAATCGAAGAGATTTCAGGGTATAAATAGGCCCAAATATTTCATTACTTCCACTTGGCTACCTCAGAGCTTGTGCTATTGATTATGTAAATTCTGCGTGAGCGATTCATTCGCGGTTTTGTAGACTTCCGCTCTCTAAATGCTCTCTGAAAACACCAGTTTTATACTTCATGACCCAAATTTTTCAATCATCGCCTCGAGCTGTGCGTGAGATTCACCGCATAAACACTGCCTATTATTGATAGTCCGCAATTTTTTCAGACGGAACTGAACAGTAGGGGGTTGGCAAACGCAGTTAAGATCCTCTCGTAGCTACGTCAAGAATTTCAGTCTTTCCTCTTGCGAGTGATATAGATATATAAAGCGATGGATAGTGAAGAAAAAAACGCCCCCTTCGATATTTTGTAGGACTCCTACATGAACCGCGCCTAAGCACGAGCGAACACGCCCTTTTTTCTCCTGATCCCACATATCACATAACGTAACCTTTCTAATATGAAATCAGAGTGGTCGAACACGGAAACTCGAGACTGATGGCATGAAAATATAAATGTGGGCGCGTTTTATACCAATTAAAGAGGACAGTCTCTTATTCTGTTCGCTCTAATTTACAGGCTTTATTCAAGTCGCTATAAATCGCCCTAATTCTCGCGCTGTAATTGTATCTTTACCAATTACAAGCCCTCGTGTTTTTATCGTAATTGTTTTGTTTTTTAGAATTTCTTATTGAATCTATAACTTCCATAATGATTTGTACGTGTTGTTGTTTCTAAAAGAACTTCTGCGGTTAGTCATCACTTGAGTCTATTCAATTTTTCTTTGATGGCCATCTTCCTGAGATCGCAACCAGGAAGTTTTCAAAAAAATGTTATCTGGCAGTGAGGCCCCCAAGGACGGACACGACGAGGTGTTGATAAAAATTGCTATTGATTAATGAGGATATATGAAAATAATTCGGAGAGAAAGAATCTAAGATGACAAGACTAACTAATCATGTTTGGAACTTGTGACTCAGGAGCAATTTTAGCTCAGTGTTGCTCGTAAAATGAGTCATCCTCTCTGTCTCTGAATTCTTGGCCGTTCTTTCCTTCTTTCTATTGGAAGAAAAATCAAAAACGCCGAAGAAATTGGTTGCATGTCTTTGAAATCATCAGTCATCGGTCGTATTTAACGATCCTTAAGATGTCAGTCAGGCTTATTATTTGTTCGCCACAAATCTCTACATTTACTAGTAGACGTTAGCAGCAGTCCTGGTAATGTTCATTGCTGAGTTATTCCTCCGTGGTGTGTTCAAAAGGATTTCAAATATACATAGAAGCAACTCACTTTCGCTTTTCTGTTCGAGGGTTTCTACTGGAACCTGTTTATACGCTCATTTCAGTTGCACAGTTTCCAACTAGAAAATCTTAGAATCGTGATCATGATATTTATTCTCTGTGTAAGAGCAACTTCTCTACGTTTTATTCTGTGTTTGCTGCGATGAAACTCAGAAGAACTCAGTGTTTGAGAACGAAAACTACGAACTCTTATGCATTACGATCATCATTTTTCGCCGACAGTTTCTTGCTTAGGCCATCAAGCTTATGGAGCGGCGTGCACATCATTGATCGAGTTATTAATCTACTTATAAGGACAAAAATCATTCAAACACACCGAGCAAAGAAAACAGATCATATTATCGGCTGGATTTCGTGTAACCGGAAGGTGTGATTCTCACGCCTTGAGAATGAAATTATTAGCTCGCCAAACCACTAGTTGCGTTAAGCCCTTTCAATAAATACCGCAAAAGCGTAAGAATGTCACTTCATTTAATTAGCTGATCCCAAAACAATAAAAAAAACGTGGGGTTTGGACAATGACCCAAGATAAGCGATGACAAGAGGGCACGTATATGCTTATTAGACAATATCAAATAGGTGCTTTTAAAACAAAAAGACGGAGGCCATTTTTTGGCAGAGCATTTCCTAGAACGTTTAAAATCTCCTTTTTTCGTGGAAATATTAATTCGTTCCTGCTTTTGCCTAAAAGAGCGCGGGGTGAGGACACGACCAACGGTCTTGTATGATCTGGAAGCTAATCGATTTAAAGTTTAGTCCGTTGCCACGTATATATAAATATATATTCTGGTTGCAACGCATCGTAACATATCTTCTAGGTAAGTTTGCTCTGCTCTGTCCTCTGATTACTTCAAGTCATTATTAAACCGCCACTAAAAGAACGCGCTCTGTAATTCAAACTGAACACACAGCAGAACCAGAAGTTAAAAGACTGACAAAAGAACAGTTTAACTGAAAATAACATGACGGTCAGGTATAGTCAAAAAATAAAATCAGGCTTTATATTTTGAAATCACACATACGAAGTCAGTCATGGCTGATGTAGGATCAACTGTAGAATTCAAGTCACATAGCTTAGAAATGAGCAACTAAGCCAACCGGCTGTGTAAATCACTTCATGAACCCAGCCGATAAATCGACGACAATCCGGCCTGACATGAGAATAATCTACAACTCTGGTTCTGTTCGTCGTTGGACTGGTCTTCCCTGAAAATTTCTGAGTAAAAAATTCCCTAGATTTTTAGAGCTGGATCTCTGTCTCGTGGCAGTGCGTATATACCTTAATATTTTCAGTCGATGACTTGAACTTGCGTGAAAAAAAGAAATAGACACAATACTTAATTGTAAAGCTTCAGTCGGCTCGGAATTGTAGTAATTATAATAACAGTAGTTAACCAACCAACTTTTTCCGCAAACGAGAGCCTTGCATACAATGTCTTTTTATCATTTTACTCATAAAATGTCAGAAAAAACAAGGCGGTAAAAACCTGTAAAACTACGCCCTCAAGGAACTTGAATTCAGTTCAGTCACTGAGCCAATAAAGGATCTTTTCTCAGGAATTGAAGATAAAAGAATTGGAAAGTGACATCATTTTTGCTCTGGGTATCGGGGGTAAAACGGAATTGATATGAGTTTGTTTCAGTTTTTCATTGAGATAAACTGGTCTAATATAATACCGCCAGAGTGTGGATGTAAACGCCCTTTCTTTTTCTGTATCTGCAAAAAATCATACCTATCTAACATGGAATCGATCAGGTGGGTGGAATGGGATATATATATGTATGCGCGTTTTCCGACAGCATGGTAAGTGATCGGTTCAAGTTTTAATTTGTCGCCTATCAGTTCTTTTTACTCTTATTTGCGAGCTGAATTCGCTTTGAGTTGCTCTTAACTTACTAATCCACATTGTTACCTTGCCCTTACCAACAACTGGCGTGATTTTTCATTGTTGAGTAAGCCCATAAAGACTCTTGCATATTCACTTAAAGGTTCCTACCTACTCCAGTGGCTTTTCATCGCTACGTATACAGTCTATGTTATTCTGCTGTGACAGTAATCTTCTTGAGTTCTCAATATGAAAGTTTTACCTCACAAGAAAGAAAGGAAAGAAAGGTCGTAAAAACGTTGGAGATAAAGAATCCCAAATGATAATATTGATTAGTCATCACCGCAGTTAATTCAGGAAATATACTTCAGTTGTTAGTTATATTGTTGTTTATCCATTTCGTCCCCAAATTCTCGGCTATCTTATATATCCAGTTAAAAATTTGATGGGAAAATTGAAAAGGAAATGAAGAAATTTGTTGCGACAGTTTCTTTAAAATCATTAGTCATCGGTCGTGTTTAACTCTTCCTAAGTTCTCGGTTCTTTTTTCGCCATTATATAAAGGTACCAATCGTCGTTGTGGCACGAGCCAATCATTCTTCTATACTCGAGCTATACTCGAAGGTAACCAAGAAAAATCTTAAATAGAAGCAATATCTTTAGGTTTTTGGTTCAATTATCGCGTATTCCGGGCACATAGAGGTTAAGTGAAGTTATGCACATTTTTCAAAGTTTCACATCAGAAAACTATTTCTCAAAACTTTCTGTATAGCTCTGTCTTATTTGCCTAAAGACTCCTCATTTTTATTTCTTGAAGACTTTGAGAGCAGTTCCGAGAGTCGTTTCCCACTTCGTCCAGTGTCCGCCAGAAGGAAACTCCAAGCGAAAGAAAAGGTACGACCTCCTGGACGCTTCTATCGGTTTTCCGCTCTCATTTTTCCCTTCTATGCTCGCTTTTAAGTCTCTTGCTTTCTTTCTTTAAGTTATGGAGCGGCCTACACATCTTTGATTGAGTTATATGGTAATCTTCTTTTAAGGATAATCGTACAAACAGATCTAGAAAAGCCGATAAAGCCGCGGATTATACCCGCAGTTCATGTGCTCGGAACTTGAGACCCACGCCTTCATTTTGTGTTATTAGCTGGCTATACTACTATTTGCGTTAAGATCGTTAATGGTTACCGCAAAATAATAAGAATGTCACTTGGAGTGATTAGTGGGTACCACAACAATTAAAAAGCGTGGGGTATGGTCAATGACTCAAGATTTGAGATATCAAGAGGGCACGTATACTACATCATGACCGTCATACACTATAAGGGGTGTTTCTGAAACAATAAAAAGGGAACCATTCACAGGCAGAACATTTCCAGAAACTCTTAAGTGGGCCGCTGCTGCTTTTATCGCAAAGGGGTGACGACTTGGTCAAAATTCGCTCGTCATATTGAATATGTGCTTCAGATCAGTTTCGTCCGCTATCATGTACATACTATTCTAGATGCAATAAATTATTGCGTATCCGATATCTGAAGGTAGTTTAATTTCCTCTCCTTTCCTCAGTGGAGGCCCCAGTTCATCATCAGTGGGTGCTTGTTTATACCCTCACGCGTGATACGTAATAAAACTACCATAGAGGTCAAGGATAAAAAAGCTGTAGAGCTGAAAATAAAACAATTTCAACAAATAATAAATCTAATAAAAGCTGGCTTTAAGTAAAATAAGCAGTGCAGACCAGACTGATAAATCAAAATAAATGAAATGCAAAAAGATCAACCTTTTTTGTTAGAAAATTCACTCGATCGAAGTCAATAATCTTCAAAGATTAACTTTATGCTTCAAAATCACCCAGAAAAGAACGACCGAGCTGGCTGTGTAATCCACTTCATAAATCACTGTGACGTAAGAATTTTGATGAAAACAAAAAGTGCTCTTTTTAATTTTCCCTGAAAATTCCGATGGACGAGTCCTCAAGAATTGTAAGGCTGGATTTCCACTTTTTCCAGAAAATACATTAATAGATATTAGTATTCTAGTTGTCGACTAGGATGCACAGAATTAGTAGACGCAATCTACGTAGGGCTTGAGTCCGCTTGGAATGTTGATTCAACCATCCAACCTTTTCAAACGCGAGCCGTCCATTTTTTGTCGATCTCAGTCTCTAAAGTTAGCTGTATTAGACCCGTAACGTTTGGCTAGGAAACCAAATCCAATTTTAGCCATTGAACCAATAAACGACCAACAATGGATTTGCAGGTCCAGTAAAAGTAAGGGAACGAGATAGAGAAATTAATTTTCCGTTGTAGCTCAAGAGATATGACGGAATTGATACGATTTCTATCGGTTTTGTTGAGGAATAAACTTGCATAACTTGGAATATCCTAGAACGAAGTGACTGTAGACTAAGCAAGATTATGCTAAGAGCCAATGAGAACTCAAAGTAAAACCGAGCAAACTGCATAACGCGCGGGAAAACGCGGGCGACTGAGTCGTAATTGGTTTTGGTCTTGCATCTGATTGGTTGAGAAAGGGCCAATTACAGAGCAAAGTTACGCATAACGAGATAAATCCTGGATTACTTTTGACATTCAGTTTAAAAATGCTCTTGGCCATTAACTCGATTTCTTATCAACAAACGAAATCCTGTCATCATCATAAAATGTACTATTTTTGAAGTTTAAAACGTTTGAGATCGAGGTACGTATATGTGACACTATAATTTATGGTAAAAAATTGAACAAAGTGAAACTGCCTCTCCGAATAATAAGTTTATTTAGTTGATACAAAGTCAAAAGTCATATCGTTATCATTTTAAAGTCCTTCCAGACTATATCAATAACAGTCACTATAAATAGATGAATCACTGATCATTAAAATAAATGGCATTAGATGCACTTAAATTGCGATCATGTTATTTTAAATCTGAACTACACATCTGCATAAACATAAGTACGTATTTTCACTTCAATGTCAACATTTTTATAACAAAAATTAGAGATTTACTTTATCTCTTTTTTTATTTTAAAAAATGTTTCTTGAGAAGTATCAGGAATATTGTTGTAACTCCAGTCTGGACAAAAACTAACCTAATGGCCTTTGATTCTTAAACCCTCGGCAAATAAAAAGCACCGGGAGGGGGGAGTGGAATGGGAAAGTAAGGTATTAAATTTCTGCATGGGGAGGCCCCCTCCCCGAGGTGCAAGTACCGTCCTCTTTTTATAAACCGATTCCTCTGAAAATATAACTTCTTTAGCATAATCATACCTCTTTCACAAGCAAGCTTAACAGCACTTTTTCAGAGCCCTTCAAATGACGCGTACGCACGATATTTCTGGAGAAAATCTAAAGCCCTTATGAATGCCTAAATGATAATTTTCGTACTCTTTGGCGCAGTTAGAGCCTGAGAAGGGTACTCTTTTAAGGCGGAGCCCTCCTGTGCAAGCCATTTAAAGGATTACTCCCTGGGAAATTGCTATATACTGTCCTAGCATGATATGTCTTTCCCTTAAGCCTGTGACACCCGTATTATAATGTACATCCTCCTCAAATTATCAATACACTGTTAAAGTTTCAATCACCTTGTGGGGTATCATCATAATATACCGCTAAATTCTCCCAACTAACTTAGAAGAAATTTTATCGCCGCGATAAGCGAGTATGGCGAATTTGATCATGGAAGTTACATTGAAAAAAGCTAGTTGTTCTCCTTCTGGAGTATTGGATTCAGAAAATACGCAAAAACCATAATAAGATTTCTGCCTGGTTCTGCATCCTTTTAGTCTTCACATTAAGTAACCTAAGAAAATCAGAGCTCTGACAATTCTGTTTTCAGTATCCACTGGAGACTGGGAAAAAGAATACATAACATGCAAAATATATTACAAAAATGTCGTACATCAATGTTTCTGTGTCTTGGTTAACCTCTATTTCCTTTTGCTTATATATTATTTATCACTGAAGTGATTGAGAAAGCTAGTCCTCTGCGAAATGCATTGGACGAACACCTCCGAAGCCAATTCACATTACACTTCAAAATGTTCCTTCATGTCTCGATCTCGTTAGGAGTAACCACACCATCTTTGCTTGGCGCGATTCGATGCTCATTTTTCTTGCTTATTTTTCGGTAAAGAACTGCTAGATCAGTTAAGATTAGGTTCAGGAAGTGGAGAACCCAGAAGGGAAATGATGGGGTGATCATCGAAAATCCGTGATAAATCTGTATCAAACTGCCTCTAATTTGCGTTTTGGAGCGCATTCAAATTCAAAGCCTTTGGTAGGTAACACCCTTCACGTTACTCTGACTACTTACTCTTGGCACTGGTTTTGCTTCAACAACAACCCAACGGAAAGTGCCCCACACCATTGAAAAGTCTCAATGCCGAGGTTTTAAGCCTGTAATACTCTAACAGCCATGGTTTCAAGAGAGGGGAGGGGAGAGGAGGGGGGAGGGGAGGGGAGCGGAAAGGGAGGGGAGCTATTGCTAGAATGATAATGGACCAAAGTATATTTATTAACGGGGAAAAGGATATTAAATGTCTTTCGTATGGTAATTTTCCGGGGACAAGTCTATTATATCTGGTTCCAATCCACACACTTTCCCCTCGTTAAGCTGCCAAGATCACCCCTGTCATTTTTCCTGTTATCTCCAAACCCAACCTACCTTCTAATTAAGGCCTAAGCCACTAACACATATCTTCATACTACCGTTTCTTTGCCTTGTGTAACTGAATCGTCGTTTCCACGATTCACTTGCGAGTTTAGTGATTCACAGTTAACATTCCATCTTTCCTTGTGTCTCGAAATGCCATGCGAATGCCTTCGTCGTCTTTTTTTTACTTTGTCCTTCCTCTGCTCGCTACGACTGCTGATGTGATCTTTCGAAGGATCACCTTTGAGCGGAGTTCCTTTTTTTGTAAGTCGATGGGAGTTTCTGGTGGTGACGGGCTTAGCAGTATTACAAGTTTTGAGCTGTTCATCAACTGGCAGTCGCATGTTGGGCGGAGGTCGAGCCATGACCTCAAATGAATTCACATAGATAGCGTTTTCACCTAAAGATCTACTCCGGGTGCGCAGGGATAAGATAGGAGTCCCTCGGGCAGAAGATGTAGAAACCGCCGGTACATTACGAGCGTGAACACTATCTTTGGTTGATGTCTCCTGTAGCGACGATGTTCGCCTCCTTGAGCCTGAGGAAGCTTCAACTAGTTCTGAGAACTCCGCTTGAATTCTAGACTTTGCAGGATGATTAAGCAAAGGCGTGGCTCCAATAAGAATTGTCTTGTATATATCAGTGTCATTAACATTCGTTTGTTGTTCAGAAGAGCACCTATTACAGCTGCTTGACAAATCGGATGAAGCGCTAGCTGTGAGAAGGTCACTACTGTCCGACATAGCATTGAGGTGGCCATTCCAAGGCACACCTCTATCTTGGAGGTTGCAACCTTCCCTAGAGATGCTAAGGGTGGCTGAAGGCGGGGCCCTGAGTTCCTCGTCGTAACTTAATGCCTGATGCCTCGAGTGCATAGGCTGGAAATGTACGTCCGTTTCAGAAGATTGTGGTAGGTTGTTTGAAGACTCCGGAGAAGTCAAAGAGTTCTGAGAATCGGCTAAGGAAGGATTCTGTGATGAGTAAGGTGGAGGTAAGTCAGTAGGGTCAAACACTGGAGGCGGGACTATGCATGACGACAGACCATATTCTTGAAAATTATCCACGGAGTGATATACCGGTGGCGCGTAGGGCGGCAACATTGTAAGGTCTGTCGAACAAGGAGCCCAAGTGTAGCTGTCTGGGTTCCTACTAGCATGGGACCTCCTTGAACTATGGCGACCACAAAGCCCCTAACAGAGAAAAAAGAGTAGAGTACTAAACACTACGAAATAGGAGAGTTTTGCAAAGAAACCACCCCCTGAATGAGCAATCTATGTAAATGTAATATGAAGAGGGGCGGGAATGGGAAACGATGAGGAATGGGGGAAAATTAGTTCTAACTAAATTTTTTCAACAAAACACCCTCTAAATGTACCACATGCAAGAGTTGGAATAAAGGAAAACGGAAAGGAAGAGGATGGGAAAACGGAGGGGTAGGATAGAACAGAGTAGGGGAGGGGGGGAAGAGGAGGATGAGAATTACATTGCATAAGCAGAGGTAAACGAACGAAAACTTTCAAAACATAAATTATACCCATCGTTCACTACATGCATGTGCATTTTGAGGAATTTCTGATGATTAGTTGGGAACGAACCATAAACACTTAACAAACAAAGTAGAAACTGAAGGGACCACAAGGGTGTTGCTGAGATTACATCATAGTACATGCATCTATTGAACGTCTACCCCGCCCCCCTTAAATCAGAAAACGTGTCAATTTATCATCAAAAGACAACCTGCCATGCCACAAATTCTACGAAGATACTTGTGAGAAACACTTACCCATAAGTCTTTACTGTATCCTTGGGAAATAAATTTTAAAACAACTGATACAATCATTCCTCTCACCTGATGTCGACTTGTTTGACGTGCTACTGCAGTACATCCCAAGATAGTTGCAATGAAGCACAGTAAGCTTCCAAAGATGGTTAGAACACAAAGTCCATATAACAACCCAGTAAGTAGTCCTGTTATCACACTGCAGTCCTGCACCCCCTCAAATTCCACCACTCCCACACCTTGATAGCAGGCCATTTCAGATTCACAGCACTTGCAGCGAGGCCCTGAAATTTCTTTTTCACACATGACAAGTGATCTGAGCAAGCCTCCTGCATCTCCTGTTAGAATTGTACCAATCATCTGCAGAACCACACATACCGCTGAGAAGAATGTGAACAAACTCATCTGAAACAACAAAATAATGTTTAGAAAAATGAAATAAAAATATTTTACAAAGGAAAAAATCATGAATTCAAAAGTGTAACATAATAAAACTGCTTGACATTTTTATAAGCGTAGTTCAGTTTTAAAATTTTTTTTTTCCAAATGATCATTCTTAATGTTACAAACAAACAAAACAAAACAAAAGAAGAAAAAGGATATAAAAGGAAAGAGATAAATTTGATCTACCAGTAAATTCAAGGTGCTCAAGAGCAAAAGAAATTTGCTAACATTTTTAACATTGATGCTTTTTTTTTCCTTTGGATCACATTGTTTGTTGATGTTCCTTTAAAAAGTCCATATATTAACTTTAAAACTTTTGGAGGGCAAAGCAGATGAACCAAAGCTAAACTACCCTAGAAACTCACACAATGCAAAGGAACACCCACTGAAGCAAGGTGATTTTTTATGATTTCCAGTTAAGAATGGGTCTGTTAAGTCCCAAACAAACTCTTATATTTTGCCCATAACAAGACTTATTGTGAGAGCTTGGGCTACCTGTGTCAATGTAAACTCACTGCTCTACAAGGCATATTGGTAAAGTATGCAGAGTTGATTTGGTTGTGAAACCACATCATGGTTAACATCTCAATCAACTGAGTTAATAAATAATTTGAGATCTCTAGCAATTTAGTTGGCACAAACTTGACCATAAATGCTCTCATAAACTATGTGCCTGGAGAAAAAAAAATATTCAGTGCATACTCATACGGGGAGTAAATATGAGAAAAAACATGAAAGGATTTGCCACACATTTTGCTATACAATGTACATGTAGTCTACATCATCCTGTATGTTAAAGGAAAACTTCCTTCTAGTAATCGGCCCTTTCATTGTTAAATGAAATTCAAGTCTTTATGCAATAACTACATATTAAATGTAGTGTGAACTGTTCGAAAGCACCAAATTGGGAAACTCTTGAACAAATCATTCCTAACTTGATTGAAAAGAACATGCCCATAGAGGAAACCACTGTTCAGTTCAAAACTTTCCAAAAAGATAGAGAAATGTAATTCACATGTAGGTGCCTTTAAAGGAAAACAATGTTCAGTTCAAAATTTCCATAAAGATGGAGAAATGTAAAGTGCAATAATATCATATATCATTTATTATCAAAATACCACTCATTTAAAGTATAATGACACAAAAAAATTAGAAGAAATAAACCAATAATTTAGAAAGGATGAAGAAGACCACCATTTATTTGTAAAAAGAACTCACTTGAAAATTGTAAAAGCAGCCTTAATTTTAACAGATGCAGAAAATTTCACTATTGTAGTAAATTTTAACAGAAAGTGTCTTTTCTTAATTTTTCGCAGTTTCTAGATAACTGCAGTGATTGTGCCTAACAAGATGCCATGGCAGGCCAAATTAGAAAGGGGGTTAATTAAGTGCCAGTACTTTAGAATATAGGACAGAACCATTCATGAACCCTGAATTGTTCCTGTACACTGGGGCTTAGAATAAAAATAGATACCATACACATATCATAAAAAATTTATAACTCTAACCCATCAAGACTGTATTTAACTTTTTCATCAGTTCTTTCTCAATGACATGTAAATGGCAACTGCCGGAAGCAGTTCACAAAATATTCCTCATTTTATGTAAATTGGCTCGGTCATAAACACTGCTAATATAGCTTTGCATGCTGCAATGCTAAATCAATATTTCTGATTCTACCATTGTATGAAAAAACATTTTTAGATTTAGCTACAGGTAAACATATATAGATTTAAAATATAACAAAAAACCTAATGCAAAACATCCCTGAAAAACCTGTCGAAGTTAAGATTACCAATAACTTTCATGACATCATGGTTAGTTTTATCAAGCACATGTACACTTGGTACTGCAAATCATGCATAAAACTTGGCATCAAAAAAAGAGTGTAGACCAACAGCTCTCTAAAACTACAATTTAATACTTGTGTTATTGTGATAACATTTGTCCTAGCTGATAACAATTATAATAATATTTGTTTGCAAAGTCCACTGTTGTTGTAAAATGGCACTGAACCAGATGTTAAAATAAATTTTATTCATTAATTTTATAATTAGTATGCAAACTCAAAAAAATTTCCAAAAGGAAACCACTATAAAAAATGTGATTGATAGCTTAATTCATGCATGAAAAGACCACTGGCTCAAGAAACACCAAACAAGACATGCGTAAAAGTTGTCAAAGACAGCACATCTTTGACAACGTAAGCACCAAAAAATGGCTTGTAGGGTCAATTGAAGCGATTTTATCAAAACTTTCCAACAATTGTCTGCATAGAAAACATTTGAACTGCTTTACTAAGATTTGCACTGAGTTCATTGATGAAATCTGTGACAACAAAGACAAGGGGCAGGTGGTTGAATGCTGGACATTGGACTGTCTTTGTTGCAGACAAAATGTGCCCTGTATTTGTGGCCTATAGGGGCTGAAATACTAGGATTTTTCCTAGATGAAATGATAAGGTACCAATGGTATAGTGCAAGCCTCAATTTGCTAAGAAAAATAGGGAGCAGGAGGAATTTGAATGGGCTTGTTATGAAGATGCCATTCAATGGCACTTCTGTCCAATTAAGGTAAGCATTTCTTTCTTGCAATATCCTGTCTAGTTTTCTATCAGCCATTTAAAACTCAGTTGAAAATCAGTTTCATCTTTCACCTGAAAATGTTTTTGTGATACCTTGTGAGAAAAACCTGACCTCAAAATAAATTACTCAAAGGCATTGAAGAAATGTCTAGCTGTGAAGAGTTAGGTTTGACTAATTGGTGATGATTACCCATCATTTTAAGGAAAATAGTTTTGAAAGTTTTATTTTCTCAACCATAAATTGTATAGGCTAAGATTAAGTTACATTTATGTTTTTTTGCACGTTCTTGTCAGCAAAACACAAGTATATGTCATCAACCTTTAATGTGTTTCTGGTTTTAAAACAGCCCATCAATCATCAGTTTAAGTGTCTAAATCATGCTTTCTATGAATACTGTGTCTCTTAATTTTAATTTGCATCAATAAGAAGTATTACAACTTAAAGTGACCAAGCAAATGATTTGTCTCATTGAATTTATGGAGTAGGCTTTTCCAGATTGTTCCACAGCCGTCTAATATTCAAATCATTCATAATTCATGGAAGGAGAACTTAAAAAACACTTTTTGACAACCGCTTTCTTTACGGAATAGTGCATCCCATTCCACTGAACAAACTAAGACCATGAATTCTTGGAAAAAAGACCATCTAAACACCTGTAACCATTAAGGAATTGGATTTAAAGCTGAGTATACAAACTTTTTCATTCAATATAGTGCATGTATCAAACAATTTTCATCTGTCAGCATCACAACTCAAGCAGCGCACAGACCACATGGTTCTCAAACTGTCTCAGCTTGTCTGAAAACGTTTTTGCCACAATATAGAAACCCAGAAAACAATAGCAATATGATTATTCAAAGGTATGTAAAACACTTAAGGGTCATGGGGTGAAGTGTCTGGTATTTGTTATCAATTTTACATAAGTTTAAGGCATTGTCTGCTGTTTATCTCACTAACTCACCAGATGCACGCAGAAGTCTGTATGTCATAGAGCGAGAGATTTAAGAGTTTATAATCAAGCATTTAAAAATTAACGAGTATATAATGCCTTTACTTGTCCACTATTGATATTGACTGACAAACAACAAAACATTTGCGTGTGCATCACTTGGGATCAGACATTAATCCATTCAAAATACGTAACAAGGTCAAGCTAGTTTTCAACTGGCCACATATTGCACTTTATTGGAAGAGTAGACATTAAAAATGGTAAAACAAGTTACCATTTCTTGAGAAGATTGAGTAATAATAGAGTCAGTACTCTACACAAAGCGCACAATTAAATTATAATTAGATGTTTGGCAATTTGCTACACATCTTTAAAGTAGGACTCTGTTAATCAGACTCGGTCTTAAATCGAGTAATAACTTGCTTAACCACAAGACAGTCTGACAATAAGGTTAAATAACATATCAGTAATGCATTAAAGAGGCTAAATGAAAGGGAAAAAAAACTGAATGTGATCCAGTCTCCACTGGATAACACATTTCATCTAAGACTTCTGTTTATAGCATATGCTGTTTTAAGACACTCTTGTTAGCACACTTCTCTTGTGATGACCACCTCAACAAAACTCAACTTAAATCTATACAGACTCCATATTTATACTTTTCCGTAAGCAGCTGCAGACACTTTCAAGGATTATGGCTCAGACACTTCCTTTGTTTTAAGTTTCCGTAGGTAGACCCCAAAAACATCTTCACATTAGCCTTTGATTCTTGTTTTAATAATCAATTATGTATCAATGTTTGTTTCAATAATTTTACACCACTGCATAAATTAAAGCCCAATATTTCCGTGTTTCATTTGTTGTCATTTAGACCCGGCTTAATTTCAATATTCTTGTTTGCTGAGCGTGCTCTTATGTTAAGAAATTATCTATCACTAATGCCTTTTATTCCTCGCCCACCAGGACTATATTCATGTACACTGCAATCTTTAGCTATTGATAACTTTTTCACTTCCAAGGGGTCTCTCTCAGATTCAGTTCTCCAACCCCTTATAAAAGTATCATTTTTATACAAATGTCTCTCTAATTACTTGAGAATCTTCACACAGATTATTCTTTCAAACAACATGAACATAAAACATGACTTGCATGTCAAATCTAAAACAAAACTAAAACTATTGAATACTTCTGAAGCCACAGTGTTTGACTTCCTTCGCACCTTAATAAAAAAATTAATTTCTTGATAAAGAAGTTTTACAGTTGACTACTAATGTATTGAACCTTCCAAAGAAATAGAAACTGCTCAGACCTCTCATGAAAATAAAATAGGCTCCAGGTATTGGAAGAGTTAATTGTTGGCTGTAACTTACTGAACTTTGATAGGCAATCTGGTAGCTGGTCGTCATGAAATTACAATTAGTAACACCACTTGTAAATGACTAAAAGAAAGAATTTATCCCTGATCCTGCTACTGCATTATAGTATAGGACAACAACTACTCATTATCTCTGAGTTAGTTCTTAAGCTGTAACTTTGTCCTGATTTTGATCTCCATAAACTACCTCAAAAGTAACTGTAGTGAAATGAGATATGTCTTTGACTAAATAATCTACCCCTGATTTAGAAGCCTTTAATTTTTCATACATGCCATCTCGAACAACACATTGAACCCCCTAAAAACTAACAGTGTCAACATCAAGTGTCTGTCAATACAGGGATTTATAACACTATTTCCCTGCATTCATGATCTGCAAAATTTGGGAGGGTATTAAATGATATTTGAGTGGCAGATCTTAGAAGGTAAACAGTAACCTTTTTAATTAAAATTTACATAAAAGAAAAACACAACAAGACTTAATTTAAAATACAGCTGCAACCCAGGCTAATGTTCAGTGTGTATACAGTCTGGTTTGAGGAATTTTTGCATATTGTATAGACAGTAACAGTTCAAAGAAGGATATATTTTGGTTTCATTTCACGTTCTCAAAAACCCATAGTACCATAATTTGCGTCAAAATTCATTGACAGAGTAGGGATTGAATATATTGAAATACTGTGCAACTCCAAAGCTTTGAAACGAATAAAAATTTGGAGGATTTCTGTTGGACTAAAAATTGTCACTTGATATATCACATCTCTAGACTACTGACAACACGCCTAATAACTGTCTGATCATTTCATAAGAATGAATTCGACTTGTAGATTACGAAATACCGTGTAGTGAGAAGGAACATCCCATATTTCAGTTTCAGTTGTGCTTCTTGAGTAAAGTACATTCAATCAATAGCAGAGGAGATGTCATTCATCCCCCCTTTCGTGTAGTCTGGGCAAACATCACATGAGTTCAAGCATTAATTTTTTGTCCACATTTTATTAGCCCAAATTTTTTCACCTAATGTTTAAACCCAAGGAAAATATTGTTCGGTAAAAAAATAGGGTGATCTTGATAAGAAAAAAATAATGCAACTCTAGCACAGTTTGTAAAGGAGGTCTAGTTGTGTGTATAAATAAACCGACACACAGGAAATTATTTTCAATCCTACAGATTTAGCTCTGGATACCACCGACACGAAAGCTACATGTATGAAGAAGAGCCTTTCAAACGATAGAGAGAATATACTCGTAGGCTTCATTTTAGAATTGAGGGTGGAAAATATACATTCAATGGACTCACCGACATCACAGACGAATGCTTCCAAGCAATTATACCTACACCACCGCTCCAAAAAACCTATTAAAGAAACACAGAAGCGTCAAGTTTGTCAATGGAAATCACGCCAACATCTCACCGCTACAATCAATGGTCACAGATTTTAACTCATGCAAGGCAAGAGGATTTTACCGCGAATCCAGCCCAGTAAGGACAAGCGTTACGTATTCTATCCGAAGAAGTGAAGGCGAAAGCTGCGAAAGACAACGCAGTTAATGAGACGCCTAAGAGGATTTGAACAACACCAAATCCAAGAGTTGTTCGACGAATTTTGAACATCTGTTGACTTCGTGTATCTTGTGTGTTCATCTTGTGAAATTGAAAGTTTCGATGCGACTAGGTCGCTTTTGGTGAAACATAGCACGAACCAAATACATTAACCTAATTCGATCGTGCCTCCGGCGAGAAATGTTCAAAACTCAGACTGCCTTCATATCATCTTTGTCCCAGACGATTGGCCGGAAGCCTCATTCTGATGTTCCGTCTGGTATGCGAGCTGATCGTTACAAGGGAGGGGAGGGTGACTTATTGCGTTCCTTTTGATATTTTTAAAATTCCACTCAGGAATTTCTTTCACTTCATTTACTTCTTCACCGAGTATTTTCAGAAAATACTAACTCCGCGGTTCAAATCACTAAATTTCATGTTTAAGTGTCAAAAGGGAACAAGGGGTCTTAAAAAAGGCCCAGCCCTACCCTAGCTGGGAAGGTTTTGCGGTTTAGTTCCAGTCAACATCAAAGAGAACCAACGTCCTAGTCCTTAGGCATTTTATAAAGATTGAAATTCTAATCGTCGCCGGTGGTGTTTACTGCTGTATTAGGCAATATTTTCATGTCAAGGAATATTCCCTTGAGGGTAAAAGAGAACATTTTTGACTTTCGTGTGACCGCTCTTTCAAGAAGTATTTATTTTATTGACGACCAACAGCGCCAGACTAAACACTACTGAACAAAGAAACGACGATAAATAATTCATTATCTATTCATGACGCTGTTATTTCGTTCTCCCTTTTCTTTTCCTTTGCGGTTTATGAATTCATTATGATCGTGTCATGAATCAAAAAAGGAAAAAAAATTGCGATGATGCAGCAAAAAATTGGCACAAAGGCAGACATTTTGTGGTTAAAATCCGACATATTTATACTTTCGTGCACATGAAATCAGCATGAGGTGCATTTCGATTTTTTTTTCATTGCGTGCTAATTATATTCCCCACATCCTGGTCGTGTTTACCAATATTAAAACAATTTCTTTGTGAATGAAGGCTTGTTGAAAATACGCTGATGCACCATTTTTGTCTTGAAAAAAGATGAACAATGTCGGTGCTGAAGAGGGTCATGAAGCAGGACTGAAAAGATTAAAAAGTAATGAAGAGCTGAAAATAGTCCCTTTTTTGACCTATGTAAGATCCAAATGGAAAAAATTGATACAGATGTCTTCCAGCCTGTCGATGTTACAAAACAGGAATAAAATCACTTAAAAAATCGATTGAATTTTCTGTTAGCCAAAACTCCACTGAACCTTAATAAAGGGATGAATTCAAGATTGTCTGATAACGATAGTCCCCTGCTATTTCAGACCTCCCTATGAGAAACGAAACTTACTCAATTCCGAGTGGCTTTTCTTTTTCAAGACAAAACATGGGGCTAGTAGCTGACATAAAAACGCTTGCTATTATTTCTGTACTCTAATTTGAACAAACAACCACGCCAAAAAAACAGCAGGTGGAAGTTTTGGGCCTTTGTAGAAATTGAATTTCGTGACTCCTGCCGACTGCGCTCAGAAAATAAACGCATGCGCATAAGTATCGTGGAGGCTGCGGGTTCTAGCAGAACCGCCTCGAGACAACCAAGCATGGTCTTCCTTACAACTCAGCACGACTGTTCGAGGCCACCAACTGAGTTTAAGGAAGTCTTTCTCACGCAATGTTTCTTTCCACTTGGCGTCATGGTAGTTTTTAAAGATTACCTCTGAAATGTAGTTTCACACATGTTATAAGAACGTATTTCATGGTAGCCGTTTCTGAGGTTCGTGCCCAATGCGAGGAAATGCCGCCAAGCTCTAATCTGACTTATTGTCTTGAGAGGCTTAAGCCACGGCTTCTTTCCATTCTCAAATTCACAAACCAAGGTCTACCTAATTTTCTTTCACACCGTCATTTTCAAATTGTCGAGGTTACTTCGCTCTTTTCCTGTATTTCAAGATTGTTTCGAACGAATTGATGGAATAAACAAACTGAAGCTGAACAGAAGAAACATTTGACCAAGTGAAGTGATCACGTATCGCCTAAATTTTTAACTTATTTATCCTCGTTCAGTTTAAGTTCCTTTTAGAACCTGCAATTTACTAAAATCAAGTCTTGCGAAAAATCAGTGGAACAGAATCGGCCAGGCAACGTTGTTCATAGTTCCGTGTGTGTGGTGTAGTGGTTTTCGGGTGTCGAAGAGCCTGCCTTCGGGTTACAGTTTTATAGGTTTCCCTAAGTTCTCTTTCTGCTGATGATTTATAATAACAAGAAAGGCAATCTGATATCGATCGGCAACTGAGAAAAAATGCGGCACTTCGCTGAGTTACTACTCTTTCTAATTAAAAATTGAATCGAGATACTTTCCTTACAAAAGTTTTTTAAAAGTAGTCATTCTTAAAATAGCCAATGAAATTTTCACTTATGGTCAGATTGTTTACAACAATCGAAAACGTGGGCCATAAGAATTGACAATCATACGCAGCTCCCTTCTGATCCGACTTAAGATTCAATGCCTCGGGCAAAGTAAAAAGAGAGTTATAACATATTGGAGTATGACTGTAATCGATAACTGCTTTAACAATGAAATAACTGAGGGTTCCGTTAATTCATTTCTGATTGACAAGAATTTTAAGGCACTTCAAGAAACACCGTCCAATTGATCTCGAAAGTACACGAGGGATACTATGCAACTTTTTTCGTGCGCGCTGCCATTGTAAGCGGCGAACAAGTGTTTACAGAGTTTTCTATGGCTTAGGAAGCAACAACAATTAAACCCTCCAGACAGCGACTACTTGATCCGAACTCAGTGGGGCTACTAACCCTGACAAATATAATTCGTTCTCCGTGAATAGTGGTCATTCATAAGTAATGAAACTTCTTGAATATTTGAGTTTCAGGTTTTTACTGACGCAATTGTGCCTAAATTAAGGTATAAATTGGCTCAAGACTCACAATGAAGACCCGTTGTACTCTCACGACACAGCCTTAACGTTTTGAGAACGAATTTTATTGTTAAGTTCCACTCGATCATTTATCGTCTTATTCTTCTACGGTCTCTTTGACATATCAAAATACTCAATCACACATTCCTTAATTACTCGAAACCAGACGATTCAAAATGCGCTGAAAAAAACACTTTCCTTTCTTTTGAATGCAGTGTCTTAATCCTTTCATGATACGCACGCACGCTATTAAATACGTCGTTGGGTGGCTTCGTCCACCCTGCAATTTTTGCGCCCAGAAATGGTTTCCTTTTTTCTTGATAAGTTAGTTTCACGAGTAACTGTTTCAGCAGCCCGGCATATACATGACTCATCTTCGATCATTGATAAACATTCGCCGCGATCGTTCATGGAGTTTTACGATGCTCCCGCAATCAGACAATTCATTTCAGGTCGGGAAATTGATTAGTTTCCATTCACTTCTTGACACTTTTCCTCCCAACTGTCTATGAAGTATTTAGAAACCAGCTCTTTGAATCTAAGGTAAATAAAGAATGAGAGAAAATGTTCGGTTACAACATACTCTTCAACTTAATCCTCGTAATCGGAATTTGATGATTGATGGAAGATTTCAGTGGAAACCATTGTTCGGGTTTCAATCTAAAGATGAAGGAGTCAGTAAAATGTTTTTAAATGAGATCTCTTTCACTATTTACTTTCCCAAGCTAAGCGCATTCTTGTTTTTTCTTTTTTTATGGCGGTGTCCTTTGAACCTGACTAATCGTATTACGAATTCTTTGAAAGCGAAGTTTTCAAAGGCAAAACAATATCGTATTTTCTCTATAAAGTCTGCCTCGAAGATTTAATTAAAATTTCACATTGTGACATGTTGACAGCACAGACAAAAAAAAATTGGTGTTGTTTTATCTCCAAAAAAATCTCGCGGCATGTAAAAAGAGGGATACAAGTTGCAACAGGAAACAGTTTTGGAAATTGCCAGACTTTCATCAGAACGAGACCAAAAAATACTCGATTGGAATACTCTTCGAATTTGACTTGACTAAGTTGAAAGGTAGAGGGCCATCTCCCTTCACGTCATTTGCATGCAAATGTCTACAAACTCCGTAATAGATTAAAATACCATCGCCAGACAGTTTCTATCTAGGAGGTGTAAACTACTCTCTGTATTGAATTCAAGCCTTAACATTCGTTAATAAATTGAATACATCGGCAGACAGTTTCCATCTGGGAAGTGTACACTACTCTCTGTATTCAATTCAAGGCTTAACACTCGTTAATAAATTGGATACACCGTCCGACAGTTTCTATCTGGGAGGTGTAAACTACCCTCTGTATTAAATTCAAGGCTTAACATTCGTTAATAAATTGAATACATCCTCCGACAGTTTCTATCTGGGAGGTGTAAACTACCCTCTGTATTGAATTCAAGGCTTAACATTCGTTAATAAATCGAATACATCCTCCGACAGTTTCTATCTGGGAGGTGTAAACTACTCCGTGTGTTAAATTCAAGTCTTAACATTCGTTAATTAATTGCATACATTCATAATCTATTGCTTACTTTTCCACAGGACAGAGTGGACTAGAACATCCAGGAAGAGTTTTTTCCTTTAAAAAGTTGAGAGAAAGAAAACTTTAGAGTTTGAAAAAATCAGTCTTGCTGAAAAAAGAAACGATATGCCATATCCCAATCGCTTGCAAGTAGCAACCTTCAAAGTGATCAACCACATTCCCACTAATAAGAGGGCGACGAATTTCCTAGAAATTATACACTCAGCGCCAAATCAACGTGTTCTCCAACGTGTTTTGCAGCCTAGCCTGTAGACTTTCACTACATAAATTCTGATGCAAAACAACACTTTGGTAAATTAACGAACTGATGACGAAGACACACCTCGTAAGTTATTATTGTGCACACAACGATTATCACCTAAATTCGAACATCTTTCAAGATAACTCACACATGCACGTGTTAATAATTAAAAAAACTTTTCAGTTTTGCAGATTGTATTTTAAGAGGAAACTTTACTGACACGGATATTAGGGTTGGTGAAAGTACGGTATTCTCCTGACATACGAGACGTTTAGCTTCCCTTTCTGTAGCATGCTTGGTACTGACGTTCTTAACGAACAAGTTACGGAGTGATCGATTCCGTTATGCTTAGCTAGTGGGCACTGGAATTTGCGATTTTCTTTTCCTGATGTTTTTGTATTTGCTGCTGAGGTTTCTTTGCTATCGGGAAAGGGGAAAAAATCTATACACCATACAAAACCCAAAACAATTTTGATAAATTCTTAACTAGACATCACCTCTCCTTGATATAACACTCGCACAAAGTAAGAGTTATCCTGAAAAAAAGAAGTGAAGAAAAATCATAAGAACAAACGACCCGTTAACATTTCTTTTCTTCATATACCAGCTATACCGTTTAAAATCAACGCGGGTGATTTATATTTTGTTTTCTATTGGGCGGGTGGGGAAAGGGGGAGGGAATTTGTTAGTAAAACCATGTAGAACTTCTTTTCGGATGGTCGAAGTGAGAAACTTCCTGGAAAGGACTATTGTAGGTGACAGTTACTGACATTTCGATAAACTGGGTGGAGGTCATTGTCAAAGTCAAGGAAGAAACTGTCTGTCTGTCCAGTATTTTAAATTTGGCTTGTGAAACTGATTGGTCAGTTTTTCTAAGATGCTCATGGATGTAGGACTCAAATACCAAACGAGACTGCTGACTTTAAGTACGTTGAGAAGGTTTGGTCGTTCTGTTCCGGTCGTTTGTTAGATTAATGTCATGAATAAGTCGTTTGTATGCTGCCGGTAGCTACCACGTGTTACGCGACAAAATGCTATAGCTTCTGAACTGACTTTACAAGTGACATGACATTACCTTATCTCTGTATAGCTCAAAAGTCAGATCAGCGGCGAAGTCAGGCCATTTGTTGTCAAAGATACCAAGTGCTAACAAAAGCGCTGCTACAGATGTATCGTGAACTGAATACAACATCATCTTGTACGAACTGAAGGATCAAGAAGAAAAACATTATTTCTAGTTACTACCTAGACATATCACGTCAAAATATATGGAGGTGCTCTCTTATCAAAAAGAAAGGATAGCATATTTCTCAATTTTTCGCCAAACGCGAAGTGAATTCTGTCCAATGATCATAAAGACCACCCTTGCTTAGACAAAGTAAAGGGCCTTATCACTTGGGTGCGATTGGTTGCGACGCGTCACATGACTGAACATGCCCAGTGATACTCCTCAAGTGACATCACCCAATCTTTAAATCTTACGCCCACTGCGATGAAAGTCTTCTTTAAATTTGATTCTCGATAGGACAACATTTTATTAGTTTTAAAGCAATCGGATTGCAGCTGCGCGTGCGTACCCATGAGGTTGAGACTTCAGTGAAAATTTAAGGTGGGGAAACCGCAAAAACACAGGAACAGTAATCGGTCCATACAAGGAATTTCCTCTCACTTCGGAAGGCTCGACAAACACTGGCACTGATTGCAACCATAAAACTCCAATTTACTATAAAGGGGGTAAGTTTCTAAAGAAACTGTGATGCTGGGTAGGTGGGAGAGTAGAACTGGGTAATTTAGCATTATCAACTGGGTTGATACCGTAAATTGGCCACCGTAAAGAGTTTCAAAGCTGACGTTTCGAGCGTTAGTCCTTTGCCATTCGCTGACGAAGGGCTAACACTCGAAACGTCTGCTTTAAATCTCTTTACAGTGGCCAACTGACATTATCAACCCAATTGATAATACTAAATTATGTGATTTATTATATTCTACAAAACTAAAAAATTTTACATTCTCTCTCAGGTACTATATGTATCACTGGCTTAAAAAGCATTTCAAGCCTTTAGGATTGGAAAATGTCCATAGAATTTCTTATACAACGTAATTCTGGATGATAATGAAACTATGTAAAAAAAAAAAATAATAATAATTTGTACCTTTGCCCACCAATTTTTTTTAAAAAATTGTCTGTCATTTCTTCCAAAAACACTCCTATAGCTACTGAAAGGTACTCCTTCCTGTCAAAGACAAGTTAGCAGTATAAACAATACTGATTACTTCAAATAAACAATGTAACAATCAATTGAATGTCAAAGTTAACCCTGGATTGATTGGCTCATACAACGGGTGCAAAATCTTCACTGATCAAATTCAAAACGAAAACCAGTTGCACCTTGCTACCTTGTGTATTCCGTTGCTTCAGACAGCTTACCTGTTTTGGCCTCACAGCATGGAGAATTACCACAGGGGCGTGAAAGGGTTAAAATTTTCCTCTGCTCTAATCAGTATTTATATTAGTTTGGTTAAGGTTTTATGACATTCAAAGAGAACTCTAAACAATGCGTTAATTTTCTTGAGGGAAGCAAAAAACTAGCCATTTTCATATTTGAAGGATGGCCGTACATTTTCTTGATACAATTTAATTTGTTTCTGAAGAATTTTTAAGTAGTGTGTGTACTTGAAAAAATAAACTGAGCTATTAAAGCTTACATTTCTCTCTCATCTGATTATAAACTGTCTATTTTAGTTTTCAATAACTTTTGCAACCAATCAAAAAATGTAAATATATCACATGTGCACCAAAAAATGAGTAAAATGTAATAAAATAATTAGAGAAGTGCAAAGAGCCTAACAGAGTTGTACAGCATCACCAAAACAGTGGAAAATAGACTATGAAAAAATAGTAAAATATTGCTGAGGAAATGGAGGTAGTTATAATTCATTCAAAAATGTGGAGAGAAAGGCACTCATGTTAGACTTAGAGATGGCAAGATTTAAAACTAAATTTTATTGTTTACCTTATATTTTCCATTCCACATTGTGTTACAAGAAAGACTTGTACTGCTTGTTCTTCTATTAAAGTCAAATTCTGTAGAATGTTCTGAGGAACTTCCATGTTGTGAGCCTAAAAGAAACCAACAATGATATATGCATAGCCTGTGAAATTTCCTTGAATTTGGGTTACCTACCCCTCCCCTAACTCAACATTAACCTTAACTTGTTGTCAATTATTGACTGTTGTTGAGTTAGGGGAGGGGTGGGTGGGCAGTTGCCCAGATACTGATGTTGATCCGAAAAATTCAATAAAAGAATAATGTGTGGAGGAAGTGAAGTACATTTTGCCAGCCCTTTATTAATGTGTCCCTGAATGGCTCACCCTTTTTTTGAAAAAACTTTGCCTTGTCAGCTTTATTGTAACTGGTAACTCAAGTATGCTTGTAAGGTGCAAATAATTGGAAGGGAACAAGGTGCAAGAGATGCATGACACTTGAGAAATGCCTTACAGGATGTTAGTACAATCTTGGGTGCAAACCGGTTCCACTGTTATTCAGTCTTAATAAGTAACAAATAAATAAAAATGACTTGAGAAAAAAGAATTAAAAAGAATGGAAAATTATGAAAAAGAAAAGAAAGCAAGAAAATGGCAAATAGGGGGAGTCATAAATCCACTTGACCTTTCTGTGCAAGAGTAGAGATTCCCCTGGAGCTCTTGTATGCTTTTCCATTTCAAGTTTTCATTAGCACTGATGCAGAACCTCATTTAGTATGAGCTAGTATTGACTTTTTACCAAGAATTTTAAGCAAGTTACTCACCAACATAGTGACAACAATATCTCGTAAGTGGACAGACACTGCAGGCTTTAAATCCTCATAATTCAAATTCAAAACTTCTCCAATCTGTTTCTGCCTGGTATAGAATCCTTCCAAAGCATCTTTCCCCTGAGCAACAGTGTATTTAACCCAATTCTTTAAAAATCTGCAGTAATTTATATTTGGGTACAAGATCTCCCTTTCTTCATCTTCTGTGTGCATGGTGACAGGGCCTGCAAGTTTGGTTCATCAAATAAATTAGGTAACAAAATAGCAAAATAGTCACATTGTTTTGACAAAGAGAGGGAGATGAAGTTGCATAGTTGTTATAAACAGTTCTCGAATCCAGATCAAGATGTCTGCTTATTTACCCCTTACTGCAAAAGCTTGTTCTAGTTTGTGATGCATAGGCAACATTTCATTATTTAATACTAAACTCCTTTTGGAAGGAATGTTTCTACAAATATATCATTGGTTAAGCATTGTGGGACTTGTTAGTTAAGTATTTTTCTGCAAAACACAATGATTCTGAATGATTATTCAGAATCATTATGTTTTGCAGAGAAAATTTTCATTATGTTTTGCAGAGAAAATTTTAATTTAAGTCAGCAGCACTGTATGTCAAGGACTACAAACAATAAAATAATTTGTGATGGACTTTTTCAGGTGCCCACTTTATAGAGCTTTGCACTGTAGGAATAAAAAGTATGAGTTCATAAAGTCGCATGAATTTAATATCAATATATAATATTGCTGATATTAATCAAAAAGACTCAAAATCACCTTTAAAACCCTCTTTTCCAAACATTCCTGCTAACACACATCTTGCAGAATCCACAGTCCTTTGTATATTGGATGTACGAATACTGAAAAAATGTCACAAATCAACCCTTTCACCAATAAGAGTGACTGGCATCTTATTTCTCTTAAGGTTACTTCTCACCTTCACAGGTATCCTTTGGTAAAAATTTGTATGCGTGTTAGTTTTGGTAAAATCCTAGCAGACTATATATCAGAAGAAAGCTTAAGCAAATTTTCCTTTAAGGAAGTGTCAGGAGCTGGTAAGGTGTGAAATGACCGAAGGTTCTTCTATTGAATTTATCGGGTATCAGATGTAGGAGCAAGAGCAAAATGGCTGCACAGTCTAATATTCACAAGGCATCAATAAACAGAAGTGTGTCAGGCTTTTTCGATATTGTGATTGGTTTTTTAGATATTGGCATCTGAAGTTGGAGTAGCTAAAAATATGCAAGGCGCGTTGCCTAAATAGACACCATGGACAAATATTTCAAATATCAAAATTTCTGGACAGACTTTCGTTTGTTATTATTCCTAGAAAGTTTTGGCAAAATTTGACAAAAATCGGCCAAATCTACATACGCTATAAATTCACTCAAAGCGGTTGTACTCCTTCCAAAATTAAATGTGAGATTTTAGCTCATTAAGGTTCACAAACAACTTGCGCCACACCAGGAGATTATCTTGCCTCCTGAAACCGCAAACCAATGGGATAACAGGACCTCCTGGCGTCAATGATGATGGATTAAGATTTCCTGGGAAAATTAACCCATTGCAGAAACATTTTTAAATCTTGATCGCTTAGAAGAGCATTAAGGAGGATGACACAATAATGAGCAAAGTTGCCAGAGGCTAAGGCAAAACCCATGGCAAAGATGGAAAAACCACAAAATGTGCTGAGGAACAAGACAATGAATCAACACACAGCTTTCAAAATTATGATTCGAGGCCATTGATAATGTTTTAGTATCAAGGCTGGTACTTACATAAAGAAAAGGAAACCTCATTTTTAACACTATGTAAGGCAAACTTTGGTGACTGATGGCAACTTCTTTGTTCGAAGTCTGGACATTAGCATGGAGTTCTGCCATTACTAGTCACTTTCACAAAGGAATTTTTTTTTTCTTTTCTTAACAGAATGGTACTCTTTCTTTCTTCTTTGGGCCTGTTTTTTTTTCTTGTTTTACCAAAACAAACAAAGAGCTTCCTTGTGTTAATTTTGTAAAGTGCACAATGTAAACAAAATATGGAAATAACATAAAAATGAGCTCTGAGATGAGCAGTTGCTGCAAAAATTTGGATTTGGGATTTTCCCAGGTCTGAGATTATGACACCTTCCTGATTTATTAACTTTTATTTGAAAACACATTTTTCTTAATATCTAAGGTACTTTTAAATATTTCAGAAATTTTTTTAATGGAACATTAGGCTGAATGTTTGAATTCAGTTTAGTCAAATATAAGAAAAATCAATTTTTTGAGCCTCTGAAGGTGGGAAGTAACCTTAAGCTTACAATATCATTCCTGACTCAAACATTAGGTCACAAGAATAAAATTAATGATCACAAACCAAAGAAGCTCTTGATTGTTGGACAAAGTCTTGTTATTGGCCCCTTAGCAAGAGTATACTATAGAGGAATAGTAAGGGGAATGTGCACACTAATGTTATGATGATTTTACCTTAAAAAAAAGGATTAATTAGAAGTGATATTATTTATTTGGTGCTGTATTCCCTGTTTATGGAGAAAATTCTCTAAAGCTGATTTTTAACCCATGGAATACTTCTATCCAACAAAATATTAATACTCACAACATTTCTTGAGGATTACAGGTTTCTTGTACAAATTTAAGATCATCTATGTATAGCTTGCCACATTTTTTTCCCAGTTCATACATTTGTTGCTGACCTACTTTAGTAAGCTGACCAACTGGACTTCCTCCCTAAAAAAAAGAAAGAAAAATGAAACATTTCTGTTATGAGGAATTGAGTATAATTAGCAAAGTGAAAGGTTTTATCCATGCAAGTGGTTATTGTAACATAGTACACGTTTGCATCCATTACATTGCTACCAAATGTTCTCAGGTTGATAGGTTTTACCACATTTTGCTAGGTAAAGGTGCTTTGCAAGGGACTCTGCTTAGACCTTTGGCTATTGCTGCAAGCTGGCAGGTTGGCAACCATAAAGACTACAGCTCTTTGAGAAGCAGGTCACAGGCCATAAGCCACATCCTGCCATTCATAACCCTGACAAGATTTTGGCAAATTAGTTGTCAGGTGGCCATGACATGGATACCAAATGATAGCAATAACAGCACTCTAACTACCATCACAAAAACCCTTTGGAGTTTGTGTATTTAAGCAACTCAGTTTTTAAGTTGCATTTCAATAGGTCACAGATCATTTTTAGCATGTTACAGTTAATTCTTTAATCCTTGTAATGATGGATCCTCTTTCTCCAGTTGATTAAGTCAGTTGATGAACCAGAAGGGTTTCACATTGTTTAAGTAGCATAAAGCGAATATGAACTATAGGTAATGCTGTTCCCCCCCCCCCCCCCAACAGAATGCAGGGTTACCCTGGCTAAATATTTTGTCAGCTGTTCTTAAGAGTTGACTTAGTACTTATTCAGACTTTTCTTGGCTTAAAACAAATATACATTACTACATCTACCAACAATTGTTTCCTACACTTTGATACTACGGCTAAACAACACTACAGTACGACCAACATGCCTGAACTACTTACTACAGGTGCCTACGATTACTTGCGTAGAAACTCAGAATGGAGTGCCTACTGCAAAAACACACTGGCCCAGTCAGGCTTCAAACCCGGACCATCCGATCTGTGGTCTGAAGTTCAGCCCACAAACTTGAAGGCCACCACATTTCATTGCAGTTGCATTCTACAAGAGGGCAATTAAATTTCTCGATTCACAAGGAATTTCTAGAGCAACTGCAGAATACCTGGCCACTCATTTACATGCCATTGAATAAGAATAGCGTCTATTGTGTTAGGCCTCGATCTTCAAAGCCTCCCGACACATGTAAGTGAGGCAGACCAAAGTGGCCGGGTATTCTGAAGTTTAGCCGAATTGGGAGCAACTGCAGAATACTCGGCCACTCCTTTACATGTCATTGAATAAGAATAGCGTCTATTGTGTTAGGCCTCGATCTTCAAAGCCACTCATCTTCAAATTAGCAGAAAGCTTTATACTACCTTAAGCAGTTTTTTCATCTGGCGATCGTCGTATTTAGAGAAGGGTTTAGGACCTCCAGACAAGTGTTTAAGCTCGTAATCAATGTTCGTGTGCGGAAGGGCTCCCATCAAAAGTTCTGCATTCCACGTCATCGGCTCTAACTCTTTACAAGGCGCCTGAAAAATTGGCGTTCTGGCACCATGTCGGAAGGCAATTTGAACCAAGACCAGCTCTAGGTTTGAGTTTACTGAACCCTTTTTTGAACCTTCTGTTATATCCTTGGATAATTTTAAAATACCACCAGCGGCCAGTGAAAAAGTGGAAAGCCGGAAAACCTTACTTATGGCGGCCATCTTGATCACCTGATGATGTGACCCGTGAGTGAGTCACGCCAAATAGGGGGACGAGGATTAGTTTCCAGGTTCTTTCGACTTCGTTGGTCACTCCACTACTTCTACGGCGAAGAAGGGATTTACAAGGCGGAAATAATTTCATCCAGTAGAATTTTCAGTTTCTTATCCTGGGTTAACCATAATTATTAAGCCGTTAGACTTAATGTGTAATACAAGGACATAGCAATAGAGTCGGGCCCAAGTCCTTAGACGAAGGTTAAAATGAACTCTGAGAAGGCCCCAAACATATTTATGCTAAGGAACACAAACGTTATCACTGTTATTATCACTCTGGAGGGTATTTACAAAATTAAAACTGAAAAAAATGACAACAAAACAGTCTTTATTTTCCCGGCTATGAAAATATATCAAACGAGGCTGACTAGTTACACTGACTCTCGCCATTAGAATTTTCAAACATACGAAAGGAAAAGTCGATAAAGGTTTGAACCTACTTATACATTTACCAAACAGACAGTTTGGCATAATTGGCCGAAATTGAAATTGAAAACCGAAAAGCTTACATGCACGGAAGAAACCGAAAAGCTTACATACATGGAAGCTTTTCTTAAAAGAAACGGACGGGTAAGAGTGTCCGAACAAGCACTTTTCTTTACATGTGCGGCCGAGCAATCCTCTAAGTAGAGTGTATATCAAGCTTTGTTCACTTTTATGAGTTACAATGGCGCGAATTTTCGTTGATTTCTTTCACTTAAGCTGTCACGAGAGTGATAAAAAAAGAATTCTTAATCTCTTAGAGAAAGTAAGTCGTTTCGAGTTCTTTGTATCTCAGTGGTCGAACTTTAAACAACGGAGCTCGAACCCTATGGTCTGGGGTGCGATTGTTTTTGAGAAACTCGCATATGTCATTGTCCCGTGCTCGGGATAAACGGATAACATCTTCCTCAATTACACGACCGAGCTCGAATTGTGGTCATCGAGAAAATCATGAACATGGAACACCAAAAATATTTCGGAATATTGCAGGACATCCTGGAGTAACAAAATGTTGTAATAGCTATGAGAAAAATATGTTAAATTAGATCAATTACTTGCTACAGCGCATGAAAGTGATTCAAGAGGCAGTTTGGTCGGCTAAATGGCAACGTTGTCAATAAGCGCTTGTTTGCTTGAGCCGGGCTGGCTCGGTTGTCACGTAATTACGAAATTGATTTTTGTTGGGTTAGGCAAAAGTGCCGAGATCTCAGCAAACCAAGCCAGCCCAGAAAACCGGAGGATATGGAATGAGGCCCTGCGTCCTAAAAACTCTAGATATTGTTCTTATGAGGTAATCGTTAAGAAGAATTTCAACTCTTGCCGTGGAACACTTGAACCAAGGTAATTTTATTGGCTGTGTCCTAACACTAACTTAACAAACAAATATAACGTACGCGATAAATAAAGAGCGAACTTTTTCTGAAACTAATTCAAATCAGTCCAGCTTAGGTTTGAGGGCGGTAGCTTTATTCATGGATCGATTAAAATACTTCTTACAGAAGTCTTTATTACTTCAGTTTGGTTTTTTTAGTGACCGGTGTCTATTTCATCTTAGTATATCTGCTATTAAATCTGGTTTCGCCTCGCAAATGTGAATGGAATTATTCCGGCTTTACGGTTTACGTGACCTCACGCTTTCCAACTGCTCCACCCAGTGTTTATGGAACTTATTGAAGCCAAGCACGAGCTCTTCGGCGTTGACTTTCTTTGACTCACTTTTTGACTGCAGAGCAATCATTTGTTGCTTGGCGTCGTTGGGAACCAGCGTGCCTGATTTCGATTTACCTGAAATGGAAAAAAAAGTATACCGATGAATGAAAAGTAGCAAGTGCGCCATTTTCAGTCAGCCGGTCTGTCAGTCAGTAAGTCAGTTAGTCGATAGGTCAATACTTTTCAGTCAGTCGGTCGGTAATTTAGTGAGTCAGTGAAACAGTGAGTTAGTGAGGCAATGAGAGAGCAAGTGAGTGAGTCAGTCAGTGAGTCGGTCGGTCGTCATTCAGTTATTCTACCAGTCAGTCAGTCAGTTACTCGGTCGGTCAATTTGTCAGTCAGTCAGTCAGTAAATTAGTGAGTCGGTGAGTGAGTGAGTGAGTCAGTAAGTCAGTGTGTCAGTGAGTCAGTCAATGAGTCAGTGAGTCGGTAAGTAAGTTAGTGAGTCAGTCAGTTAGTCGTTTGGTCAATTTGTCAGTGAGTCAGTAAGTCAGTGAGTGAGTCCGGAAATCAGTCAATAACTCGGTGAGTCAGTCAATGAGTAAATAAGTCGGTAAGTCAGTAAGTGAGTCAGTCAGTCAGTCGGTCGGTCATCATTCAGTTATTCTATCAGTCAGTCAGTCCGTCTGCAAGTAAGTCAGTCAGTCAGTCCGTCTGCAAGTCAGTCAGTTAGTTAGTCCGTCTAGAAGTCAGAAAGTCAGTCAGTAGGTCAGTTAGTTACGCTGTTAGTCCCTTGGTCTATCAGTCCAGTCCGCTAGTCAATCATTCACTTAGCCTATCAATCAGTCAGTGAATAGGCCAGTCAGTCTATGAGCAAGTGAGTAAGCAAGTTAGTGATTGAATCAGTCAGTCGGTCAGATGGCCAATCAATCGATCAACCTTTCAGCTAGTTGGAAAATGAGTCAGTCAGTTATCCAGCAAGAGAGTGACTGAGTCAGTCATTCAGTCTGTCAATCATTCAGTCTGTCATTTAGTCAGCCAGTCACTCAGCTGATCCAGCGGTACTAATAGCGGCTAAAGGTACCACTAATGACCTACCATGTTTGATCCTTCGACATGGAAATCCACATAAGAGTCCTTGTTTGTATCTTCGATATAACTCCCATAAGAGTCCAATGATTACGAGACTGCCCACAATAATGACCCCATTTCTGACAATTTTCACGAATGTTGTTTGTTGGTAAAAGAGAGCTTCCGTCGCTTCAACTGCCAAGTTTTTATCAGTTTGTTTGGTCTGGCAAATGAAATAGGATCAGTTTTTAGTTTGAATATTCGCTGTAACATGCATTATCAAAGCACTTTAGAAATGGCAACTGACAAGACTCTCCCCTCGTTACCAGTTCATCTGCAGTGTCTCATACACGGGCTATTAAAGGCAGTGAACTGAGAGTTATTAATTTGAGTTCATAGGAGTTTAATATGCGTTCTTTCCTAATGTAATTTAAACTTTTCTTTGCTTCCTTCTCGGGCAGAGAATTGTGATGGGGACTGTTCTACAGGTCACCGAGAAAAAAAACAAAGACACAACCAATAAGCACACAAACAAAACAAAATAAATAAATTTAAAAAAGTGTAGGACATCTCACACAATATCTTAATCTGGGGATAAACTTCAGATTTTCAAACTATACTTCTGTTGTTTACTGATATCATGAATCTGTCCGACTAGTTCATATAGTTGATCAAGAGATTTTTTAGAGGTGAATACTTGTATCAACAGAAAGAGAAAGGTATCTATTTTAATCAACTAACTGTTGATGACAAACGTGGCATTTCACTTGCTCGCTGACTAAGCAGAGAAGTCTCTTTAGTGACAATTAAAAGCGTTCTTGTCTTGAAAACTTTTAAAATTGTTCTTCTCTCGTCCACCTTAATTCTCTATTTCACCTCGTTCCTCACCTTGATAGGAATGAGATATTTTGCAATGTGATCAAATATTTCATGGTTGTAGTTCCTCATGTAACGTCGCACACATTGCGTGGTTTGAGGTGCCCCGGATGGAAGTACAAGGCCGTATGTGATTGGATGTTCAATCGTGCGTTCTACTCGCAATCCCTGACCCTTCTCCAGGAACTGGGAAAACCTTGTCAAAGCATAATTGTCAATCAAAAGACCGTCAATTTTGAAGTCTTGCACGGCTTTAGTCATCGCCACCGGAGTGCTAAATGCTATATCAGAAAAAGAAAGGAATAAAAAAAAAACTTGATGATATTGGTCTGACACTTAAATTGTCATCTACAGATTTCTGAAAATAAAATCGAAGAACAAAGGAGCAAACAAACAAGTAAATAGTATAAAGAAATATGTTTTTTCGTCTTGTCACAAGCGTTGGACCAAGAAGGATCCCCATGAGGAATCGAACCTCGGAACTTCGAATTCCGCGTTCCGATGCTCTGCCACTGAGCCACTGAGACTCTATGGTAAGCGAGGTCTATTACGAAAAGTAATTTGTAAAAGCATCGATCGTTGACGGTTGACTTGCTTAATGATCCCTTCCGCAGCCTTTCCCCAGAGGGAACGTTGCTCGATATCCGGCTACTTAAGAAGCTACCTACTTAAAGGCTCTGCCATCGTTTTAATCTCCTGGCCTATCTCATCTCACCTTGCATATCAAAGTTAATGCTGACTCCAAGTCGAAACTCTTCACTGCCGTTTACTGCACCAATCTGATGGATATGAATCGATTAAACGTTTAGATTGATATATTTTATTAATATAGGGCTGTTTGGCTTTTGAAATTTATCGTTTACGAAAGAGATAGGTATTTGGGTCTCTTCCTCAACTCTCCCGCAAAGTTAAAGGATGAGTGGAAATAGAAAGACCTTTTTTAGGTATATCAGGGACTCGTTCTCACATCAGTCCTAATTTCAGAAAAGGACAATCACCTATACTTCTTACATACTAGTACCAAACTTGTTCAACAAGGCGTAACGCTACTGATTGTTTGTGCGAAGATCTCTCACCCTCTTTAAAGCAAACTCCGCCCAACAGGCGAAGACCAGAAAAAGACTCGAAAAAATAAACTAACTGGCGCTGCGCTCTTTGCCTTGGCTTAACCTACGAACGGGGTCCATGCTCGTTACAGAAGGATTGAAGCAAGTACCTTAGCGCCATGAATGTTAAAGTAGGGTCTTGTTGTGGCTGTAACAGAGGCTGTGACCAATGCAGTAAATATCGATATTATATTTATTCCAGTAATGATCCAGATGAAACAGAAAAGTCTACCCGGCAATGATTTAGGGGAACTGTCACCGTACCTGGTAAAACAAAAAAAAAACACTATCAAGTTTAAAAAAAGGGATGTACCGTTCCAATAATGATACGTAAGAGAAACGTTCTCAAAAGGAGTTAGCCTTTTTTTTTTAATCTCATATCCAACAACTTAATGCAATCTGAATAAGACACTTAACCCGGTCATGATGACTTCCGGTTAGATTGTCCAAATGTCATTCGTTGTCTGTGTCCAGGTAACGGTCCTTTTCGGATCGCTCCCAGCCGGGTGATCAAATTCGAGAAATTATACAGGTTATAAAGTCCTGTTAAAGTACATGATCAATTACTACTCTTGTGTTTAAATCATTTACTGTTAAATGATCATGTTCGTTATTCCAACGGCCATGTGTGAATCGTTCCTATCCTCAGTCACTTTCAAAGATATCCTTAAATCCTCGCATCTTTGGTGTTTGGGACCTTGCAAAACGATTCATGGCTTAATCTATGTAAACTTTGACAAAATTATTTCTCTCTGGTACTCAGAACGAATCAAAATGTTGTTTCGTGGCTTACTGCATAAAACGTTAAAATACATGTATGGTTGTAGCTGTTCACACACAAATACGGGTCAGTATTCAATTTCCTCTAATCATAATTTTTCCGCCAACAAAATGGATCTTTACAGAGGGTAATTTTCATTTAGCCCTCTTGTTTAGCTAACTTTAGCCAAAGGAAGTGGTAGAATATTTGTATATCACTTACCCTACTGTTGTCATGGTAACAACCGCCCACCAAAATCCGTCCCAGGCTCCGTTCACAAATCTCTTGGAAAATTCATTAGAGAAGAAAACAAACTCCTGTAAAAAAAAAAAAAAGATTATTTAAAGGTGTTACTTGCAATAACCAGTTACCATTTCAGCCTTTGAGTGAGGACGAGAGAAGAAGCAGGCAAGCAATTCACAGCTGTTATGGTTTTCAGGGAGATGGTTTTCCTTTCAGTGAAAAGTACCTTGAATAAAAGTGAGTATTAGAGTGATTCTTAACTAAGTCACGACAAAATCATTACTTTGTGCTAAAAAACATTTTTCTGCTGTGTTGTTGGTTGCTTGTTCTTTAGTTCGTATGACATATAAATGAGCTTAAGTCCTGCAGTGATTCTTATCTATATGCTCACCAGTAGCCACACCATCATTCCAGAAGCGCCTGCTGCAGCCAGAATAAATACCAAGAATGGCCAAGTATCGAATATTGTGCTCGCGAAATTCTTTGTTTTCTTTGTTCCCTTTGCGGAAAAACATGATAAAATTATTGTTATTTGATTACTGATACGTGAAAATGATTAATACACAAGAATTTTCTATTAAATAAAACTTTCGAGACTAGGAAAGTATAGAATGTTCACTAGTTCATACCATCAAGACCGCCTGAACACCAGACATCTCTTATCTTTTTTTTTTTCTTTTTTCAGATAATTCCTCAGCTGAAAATCCTACGTGCTCTTCTAACTTTCAGTGGTATACACAACAAACTGCTATATCAAAAATCATAGAAAGGAGAAGAGAGGTATGGCTTCACCTCGTTAATCATGATGAAGGTCGGTCCCGACTAGTAATTCCTTTGTCTACTTGATCTTGTTTGGAAAGAGATACTCAGTATTTTAAGAATTTTTCCTAAAAATGCAACGACCCGGCCAGGGCTAGAGCTCGGATCTCTCGATTCCGAGTCCACTAAACCAATATCCACGCCGATGCATCCCTCTTGTGACACCATGAACTGTTTACACCAAACTAAAAGTTATAAATGTGATCAAAACATGTCTATACCTTCTCAGAGACCAGTAACATAACCCGAGGTGCTGTGACAACTGGGACAAACGGTTGATCACGGTACGAGTCCTTGTCTACTTTGGCGATGTACACAGGAAAAGTAAAATCGTACTTCTGTTCAGAGAAAAAATCTTCAGCTTCCCAAATACTCTTCACGAAGGCACCGTACTTGATTTTACTTCCGTTGCAACAATGTTGAACAATTCTGTTGATGACATCTGTTGATTTGAATTTATATCCATTAGTATCAAAACTTTCTCATGATTACTCCCTCAAGGAGTTTTAAATTTGTTGAATACTCCTAAGGGCAACTTGACCAATTCCCAATGTCACCGAAGCCCTATCCAAAGTCGCCCTCCGATGGTTTCCTGACGGCCGACGAAAGAGACCCGAAAGAGAGTACGTCACGGCTGATGCATCTTGACTAAATTTGCCTAAACCTTTCATTTTTTCTTAGCCATCCTCTATTATTTACGGGTAACTCTTACCTCCCACTTGTTTGTCCGCCCTCCCAAGCTATCAAGTTTTAATTCCATTGTGTTTCATTCCACGAAAGTTATTCATTTGAGAACGACCACGCCCAAATTAGTACCCTCATCGCGTAGAACCTTCAGTGACTTAAAATTCGACAAGGAAAGAGGAACGTACAGTAACTCACTTGGAAATATTCCTCGTGCGGCAAAGCCAAACTTTTTGCCTAATTTCGGTCCCAAGATCCCAGCGTACGGTAAATTCAAACTCCACGAAATGGAGAGTCCCATGCCCTTCTGACAGCGCTCGTCCAGAGAGTGGGAGGTCAGATTCCTGAATTCTTGTGTTATCCTACCAAATCTTCTAGGTACGTAAGTGTTCTTGACGTCAATAAATATGTCATCTGAAGTCAAATTTGCGTCCTTTTCCCATGCAACAAACAATGCGTTCGACACAGACACTGTGCTCAAGAATACCATGTGGGTGACAGTCAAACGGCACATCATTGTTGGAGTACTTCTATGAAAAGAGTACGTTTAATGAAAAAAAGAAATAAAAAATGATTAAAAAAAGGATATGGTTAGTTAATGATGAAATATAACAATTATTCAAGCGAAAGTCCAGCGAAATGCCAGGTGTTAAAATTTCTGAAATACGTTTATAATATTTAACAGAATAAGGGACGGTTCCCTCAAAAAGGTGACCTTTAAGAGCCCCCTAAAGAGTGGTAATTCTGATGAAATGGTTCACAGTTGTGAAGCATGATGGCAACGCTTCCGTGTAGAATACAGTATACATCCATTTTCTTTAATTTGACTCTGTTACATACGTGGTTTAATTTGAGAAGGTTTTTTTACAATCGCCGATTTATTTCCTTGTAATAAATGATCTGTCTTTCTAGGAAATTTTAGGGACGAAAAAAGGAAAAGAAGGGACGAGGAAAGAAAGAGCAAACGGTAGTGCATGTGACTCTGATGAATAGCGAGCCTGATAATTAATTAACGCCCATCGCCGCAGGAGATCCTTGAATTGTTTGGTGGCTGATGGTTCACTTTCAGTGACAATTATGGTGTAAAAAAAATTAAACGGCACAAGTTTCAAATTGCGAAAGGAAAATTGGAAATACCAAAAAATTTTCCATGCAAATTACAGTTACCTGGTCCTTTGTGTTGGGATCAAAGGCTTTAGTGCGGTTGAAATAATGACGGGTGGTTTTCGGTTGGCGTGTCAATATAGATTTACTGGCGTGGTCGGGTAGGTGGAATGAAAAGGACAAAATTCCTTTTGTCGCAAATCATTTGTTGGGTTGAGCTAAAGCTGTATATGCGCCATCAGCTTGCAGTGGTTCTTAGTGTCTTTTGTTGACGTATTTACGATGGTAATTTCCGAAGCCCTTCAGTTCTCCTTTTCCTTAAAGATATACTTGATATCCTTCCCAAACTTTCATTTGAATTGTTAAATTTCCTTCATATGTTTCTGAATTGGTCGTTATGATAGGTACTACAAAAATATTGAAGCATTTTAGATCGAACGCTCCCGTCCAGTCTCATCTGAGGTCGTTCATTCTACTGCTACGAAAACCTATCGCTGTATAACCTTGTAAGAAAATACCAGTTATTATTTGATAGTTTTGAAGGTAATAAATCCCGGAACGTCGGGTAACAATTCGGAGACTTATTCATTTCTTGAATATGGGATAAGAAAGAGGGCAAAATTTCAGCTCATTCGTCGAAGAAAAAGAAGAGAAAGATTTTGTTCGCTTTACTACGAACTTGAGATCGAAAAAAAGATCCTAGTCCTGCATGAGAAATCGAGTCCCTGACCTTCTGATTTCGTGTTCGAATGTTCTACAACTGCGCTAATACCAAGATCTCGATGATGAGGGAGGCCTTGTTTTAATTCCATATTTGATAACAGTCCTGCATTATGCAAGGAGCGCGTCACAGCTTAACTGAAGACTTCCAAACTATTGTGGGCTTTTGCCTTGACAGGTATCGATTGGTTCATGGTTAATCTACAAACAGCGAGATCCAATCAATCGGGCAAATGGCAATATTTTGGCAAGATATATCAAATATAATATTGATCACAACGAAGAAATAATAGGGGAGCAATTCAAGTTGAAATTACGAAAAATGTGTTGTTTTAAAATCAGAATAGGAAAATGATTCGAACGTATCGGCTGACCCCCGGACTAACTGTTCTATTATTATAAAATATTCTGGTTCAAGTTTATTCTTACATTCTCAATTATCGAGGGACTACAATTAAAGAGGCTGTCGGAACATCAAAAGCTAATAGGCTTAAGATTTGATAAAAGGGAATACACTTTTTTCGATATAGGAAAGTCTAATTTTTGGGCTGAGACTTAACGTTCTTATTTTTTTTTTTCTATTTGAGCCCGAAAACGTTCTTAACTTGTTCTTAAAGTTATGTGATGTTGTGTTTCAATAGATCAGTTCGGACGTGAGTTAATTCTCCTGTTCGACCACAGTTTTACATTTCTGTTACCTTTATTCATACTTTTCACAAAAAAAAGCAAAATAAAGACGTTGTTAACCGACTCTCAGCCTGGGTGTGTTCTCAGTATGTTCTTAAAATTTTGGTTAACCCTTTACACCCCAAAATCAGCATGCAATATTCTTCATACTGTTCATCATACACTTCTGATGTGTTCAGGTGCTGACAAGGAGAATTTTTTTAAAAATAAAGATATTCTTTAGTTGTTGATCATTTTCTTTATTGTTGTGACCTTCATGTGTGATTCAGGGGAGTTATTGCGAGGAAAAATTAGATGTTAGTCGCTCTTAGGGCTGAAAGGGTTAATCTTAGCCTCAACTGATCAGTGCAACATCATTGAGATCCATGAAAACATGAAATTGTTAAAGTTATTGCTTTGGAGCGACGACTTCCTTTAGCAGAGAAAATCTCACACTGGTTTCTGACTCGCTGTGTTTCTGTTGTAATCACAGCATCGCTTTCAATTAACTGTCTTGGTTGGTAGAACTATCTTTATATGTACTAATGGAAAGCGTTTAAACTGATAAATTACTGTACTTTTCATTACGCCTCTTTCGCAGTGCCATGAACGAAAAATTGAATCACTTGGTAGTCTGTAAACATGCGATGAAATAAAGCAAAATCTAATAAATTTTTGACACGTAATATCAATGATATTTTTCTGCGAGCTGCAAACTCAAAGAAAGGCCCTGAACGTAAAAGCAAGCAGGACGTTAATAAATAGAAGGATCTCCCGCAGTTTGATGCAGGTTAACCATCTTGAATTACCATCAGGGGAAAAAAATTTTAATATTGTGCTTGGAGTCATGAACATAGTGCGCCACGAATTCCAAAGGATCCAAAATGTCTTTGAAGTTTTTGATGTTCGGTGTAATTTTACAACTCTGTCGGAATTTAGTATACTTCTACAGTTTCAGTTCAGTAGGTCTGTTGCTAACAATGAGGCCGAATCGAATTAAGCCAGTTTTCAGAAAAGGTGACGCCAATAACTCGCCGAGCTTTCGCAGAAATATCGTTTGTTGAACTACAGCACACTAAGCTGGACGGGTTCACAAACTCTCAAAAAACAAAAAATTCTCGAAAATGTTTTGTCTATATTGTGATGAAGTGCATTAATATTCGCATTAACGCACAGAATCGCACGCACGATTGTTACAATTCATTCTTTCATAGGTGAATCAACCAACAACCGAACTTCGTTAGTAAAAAAAGGAAAATTCGGCTGAACCATCGACCAAAATCAACAGTAAGGCTCTATCGTTTTCCACAACCTTGAATTCTGAGGTCAGCGTCTTTCATCGACTGAATTTAGCTGGATTTAGGGGCTTGTTTCGGGTAATTCATAATCGAACTTTTAATCTTGAAAATAGCCTTCGAAATCATCTATGGATCAAAACTTGAATTTGAATCATGTTGAATCATGTTACGTGTACTTACCCTTATTTTCGATCTCAACTGGTGGATTCAGCGAGTCGCAGGAGTAAAATATATGTAATACTACATTTCGAGTAATTTTCAACTTTGCGATATTTGCATTTCTAAACATTAATTTCAGGTGTTTTGGGACTTATAGGGCGCATGTCAATAACATAGAGCGGCCTTGAGTGATGAAATATTTATACGGAAAGAGGTTTGTCTGACTCAAATAACAAAAAGTTAAAAGGATTAGATAAAAAAAAACAGTGGTTCATGGCAAAGAGCAAGGGATTTCACATTTCAGAATGCAAATTTTACATTTGACATGTCAGTGGAAGCGTTCACAGTAACAGTTTTTCATCCCATTGTTTATTACTGATTAGCTCTATTAACTCGAAGACTGAGCGCGACAACAAAGCACTTCAAAACAAACAGAAAATTGCATAAAATTATTGAATGACATGCTAATGTAAAACCAAGTCAAAAGAAGGTCTGCTAGATATTTTCTGAACTAGTATCATTTTCTCGTCTTCAATATTTAAAAATATTCGCTTAATTTGCCAAGTCTATAAATGATGTTAAAAACGACGGCTTAGCAAGCAAGAAACTACTTTGGAAAAATAATGTTTTTCTGCATTTAAAATAATTGCTTAATTCTAATATCAACAACGGATGCAAGCAGCCTAAAAATTGTTGATTGCACGAAATCAACACGGTCGAAGAAATGGCAGGCAACTTTCTTCTTTCGTAAAATCGTACGGTCAAGTGAACTAATTTATATTTTCATTTCTGTAAACTATAACTTTTTCTTCGGCGCCGAAAAGGCTTATGTTAATTTCCCCCAGCAAGAAAATAGTAAGCCGCTAAAACGTTTCTAGCAGGTGCTTTTGATGCAGATTATCTCACTCTCCGAGCTTTCAATAAGGGTGAATTATATTGAAGCAGTTTGGCGCGAGAACAATTACTTTAACTAGCTGGAGCCTATTGAGTATGGAAAAATACACCTAATGCAAAGCTGCATTATATTGAAGGATTTGCAGAAATTTCACGGTGACACGCACGAGCCTTTACGATGTTAACAATCAATGAAAGAGCTCACAATCTAACACAACATTTGACCAGGTGAAAGAAAGACAATTACACCATTAAGCAAGGATTTAGATCTTTTAGTTGACAGAAAACAATTCTTTTGAAAGGGGGAAGGGAATATTTACGGACAATTTTTTTTTTCTGAAACTTTACTAATGCTTCTTCCATTCTTCAAGCCTCCTTTCGAATCGGCAATGGTAGATCCCTCAGAACTTGCATTCATTCCAAACTCATTGTTGATTTACCATCCACCCTGAATTATGTTTCAATATCATAATATGAAAGAGAAAAAAAAGGCTGACTATTACACGACCCAAATTCACAAAGAATTCTGCCGATATTTGTGCATAATATCTTTAGGATCTTCATCTAGAATAAAACAAGGCTAATAGTTATCAGTTTTTTGCAGGTACATTTTTTTTAGAAACATATCAAACTCTTTCCCCAGTGCGACGAACATTTGTTTTTCTCGGTTCCAGGTGTACGCAACCACTAACCCCACGTAATGCGCTTGCTCTCCGTTACGAATTTTCAAAATGGCGGACAGGCCAAACAGGGAAATAAAAAAAACAAAGCGATTTTGCAATGAATACTCAACATACACCCTCGTTAGAAAGGCGAATCCACGGAAGAAAGATACAAAACTGTATGATATTGATATCGATATGATATTAAATCGATACCGAGGGCCCCAACTTGCTAAGAAGTGCATTTAATTGCCTTCCGCCACGATCACTAGCTTTCTTGACAGCTTTCTGAAGACAGAATAATTTCTTTTTGAAGACTTCTGATATGCGGCTATTGATTATTATACCTCGTATACCTGATTGCTCAAACACTTTGTTTACGATTTTTGAAAAGACCGACTCATGGTTCTCCGTCTTCGTCTTTACATTGCTTTGAAATAGTATAGATTAGTAAGCTGAAACGAAAAATTAATCAGGGAAGTTTACGAAAAATCCAGCAAACAAGCTTAAAAAAGGCATTTATTTAGACTTCATACTTCAACGAACTTCACAAATCTTACTTGTTTATCTTGTAAGTAAACGATGGCAGATTAATTCCCGAAGTGCTTTCTGAGTTTCCCGATCCCTCTCCTACTGCTTTCACGCTTACAAAACAGGAAAAAATCAAAAGGAGGAAGATACAGCTGTTTTGAAACGCCATTTGACGAGGGTAAATCTGCTTTTTGTTCGACACTTTACATATCAAAACAAAGGAAATTTGTTCCTCTTTTTTATTCTGGCAGTACATTTTTGATTTGCGCCTGCGTAAAAGAAATATCGCCTGAGACCCTTCGCTCGGTCGTGTTTTGATCAAAAACGCCTTGTTAATTTCACGCAACCGCTCGGAGAAAAGGTAAAAATGACGAGGGAAAAACTTCAAGTTAGAAAATTAGCGAAATAGAAAGCCACAATATTATATTTTAATATTTCAGAGGTACATTGAGTCCTTTTTTCGTAGAGAATCCGCACGATGGTAAAACATTCGAAAATTACACTCGATTTGAGTGGGGTGTTGAAGTGGGCGTGGTCACTACATTCATGTTAAGACTATTTCTACCCTATGAGTTTGATATGGATCCTCAAAATTCGACATGTGCATGTTATGATGTTCTGTAGCGCCTCAATGTTCTTTGGAAATTTCGATTAAAATCCCTCGAATCTTCCCAGCGACTTTTGTTTAAATTTTTTGAGGAATTTTTGCGAGAACGAAGAACGAAATTCGCGTATTAAGTTACGTTTGTACTACTCTTGTATAGCTGCAATCAGCGAACCGAACAGTTGATTTTTTTCATAATGAATGATATTATTAGGCGCTCTCTGCATTATTATGGCACTTCTGTAGCACTTTAGATATGCAAATATATGGTTTTGGAAGTCATTAGAACATCATGTTTAAATTTCATTATCTAATTCAAATAAACCTTGGATATGGCGCTCCTGTAACCCCTAAACAAACTTTATGTATGGCTGTCAACATTTAGGAAGGCCTATGGTGACTTTTTTTGTCAGGACTTCGGTCAAAATAACATGCTGGAACTAAACCAGCCGTTTTCAGATAACTTTTATAACTGGCTCATTTGAACACATACGAAAACTCTGAGCACCAGAGTACCGCAAATTAAACTGCGGTGATCACATCAATTCCCCCGTCATGTTTCTGTCTTTTGTGTTATAATTAAGCGCTTATCTTTTTGTTGCCAGCGTTCTGTCAGATAACGATTCAGGCAAGGAACTGTCCCATAGCGTTACGACCTGTTCTGGTGTTCCGGCTTGTTCCGGGGTGTTCTGGTGTTCTAATGTGTTCCGGTGTTCCTGATTTTAAGTCTTTTTATGCATGCCTCCTATTTCAGTTTGGTTGTTAACAGTTCCAACAGTTCCCTTTTTTTAAGTTTTCACCTTTTGTAGATCTTTCATTGCACGTTTAGTGCGGGTATTGATTTTGTGTCATTGATTTTTACTCACGGCAAGCAGAATTTGAAGGCATTAAACTTGACATCATGAGTAAATTTTTCACTTACTGATTTCCCTTTCCCTCCATTTGATAATTATTACAGAAAAATACTATGTATATTAATAAAGGACAGTCATTACTCTTTTATGCTTTTATTTTTATTTTTTTTATTTTATGTTATTTTTCTGAGATATTAAGAACGAGAAAAGAAGATTTTCCATCGCGGTGAACTGTCGTGTTTCTGCTCTAACAGGATGCTCATTTCATTCACTGAAAACCGGATTAGAGTGTGATTTTGTTTCACCATTGAAAAAATTCCATTCACCATGGAATTTTTCTGTGAACGCAGGTCGCTGTTCCTTTTTTTTTTTAAGGGAACTTCCAATTAATTATTAAAGAAAATTACCTTTGAGGCAGATATAAATTTGGCGTGGCTTGTGGGAAGAACTTCACAGTATTTCGCGACAAACTAAGTCACAAGAGAGAGCCAAGAAACCTTCAGAAAAAGGTGAGCACTTTTTTATAAATACTTGTACGGTTTTCCGGCTTTAAACAAAATTCAGACAGGAATTCGTGTTTCACTATTCTCGAATTTGGTATTTTGACCACAGCGGGAAAAAAAAATGACCAATTTTGGTCACCAAAAGGGAACTTTTTGAAACTGAAGACGCTTATGAGAATAAATCTTGTCACTTTGGACAGCAGAACAGACGCCTTTTAATTAGAAAAGAATTCGTCATTTTTCAAGTTCAATAAATAAGTTTTACCAAGTACTAGAAAATTGTCAGGATGACATCCATGCGGTAACAGCTGGAGACAATTTCCCGTACTCTGAAGTCTCGGTGTCAAGGTTTATGTGTTGCCATTTTATCAATCTTGTAATCCGATTACTGGCTACTCATTCATTGGTAAGAGATACGGGAAATGTCAAGTATTTCAAGAATTTTTTCGATTTGCGTTTACGATGTAAAAGGAACGGCGGGCAAACCAGAGGTGGGCCTGCCACGGGCATCCCATGGAACAAGGGATATGGAGATCAAAGGTGAACTACATCCTTATTTTATATAAATACAGAGGAACCACATCACCTTTAGGTTAATATTATAAAATTTAATGCTTTTGTGTCCCGGTGAAATTTTAGGTTGTTCAATTCCCTTCTCACGGCTTCATTTAAGCGTCCTGCTCAGAACCCATCATCCTCGTGGAGAGGTGGGGAGGGGGAGGGAGAGGGGCGTTACATTGCATCCTCAGTAACGTCTTTAAAGGAGACGACTGTAGCAGCGGATGACTTCACATTAAGTTTTAAGTTAGGTTAAACCATTATATTTTCTGTCTCATTTTCCTGCACGACCGTGCCATGACAAGATATTAACAATTTTGTAGATCATTTATTGTCCCTGGTGACATTGAAATGGCTGTTAATATAGAAACAAATTAATGATGCCGGTAGATGTCTGGGCAGTTTTTTTTTTTTTCAGTTAATTCAGTTTAGAAAATATTATTCTTACTTTCATGGGCATCTAACTAGCGAAATTTGAAATATATGGAAACGAGTTCTCAATCTCTATCTGTG